CACTTTTCATTTTGTGCGTTAATGGGGACACATATAAGCAATGGGTCTCGTGAGCGGAAAAACAGAGTTAGCACTTATGGGTTCTAATTAAGTTTTGGCTTCAAGTAGGATGTTTTTGCTTTTCACTCAAAGTGGTGAACTTTTAAAGTAGAGAAGGAAAAAATAAAATTCCCAAATCATTAAAAGGGAATTAATGGGAGAGCGCCATTTTGCCTTTCACAGCTTCTGAATATATAAAGTTGATTTCATACAGCAAGGGAGAGGGAGAGAGAGATGAAAACATCCTGACCGGGAATCAAACCATGACCTCCTGGTTCATAGGTCGATGCTTGACCACTGAGCCACTGTGGCCAGCACTTCTGATTCTTCCCAGTCGGTCTAGAGTTTGTGAGCCACAGGAAATGCAAACCCACCTGTGAGACAAGATGGGAATAACAAATGGGAATGTTAATTGGAGAAAAGGAAATATTTCGCCCTAACCGATAAGGCTCAGTGGATAGAGCGTCAGCCTGCAGACTGAAAGGTCCCAGGTTCGATTCCAGTCAAGGGCATGTACTTTGGTTGTGGGCACATCTTCAGTGATGGGTGTGCAGGAGGCAGCTGATCAATGTTTCTCTCTCATCAGTGTTTCTTTCTATCCGTCTCTCTTTTTTTCTGTAAAAAATCAATAATATATATATATTTTTTAAAAAGGAAATATTTCTCTCAGATATCAGTTGTTTGTTTTTATTGTTGTTGTTGCTGTTGTCATAATAGTACCAGGCCCTTGAGATTGAAAAGAGAGTCTTCACGGAATATTAAATGCATAAAGTTCAAAGCATTTATCATCTTCAGTTCTGCCAGGGTCAGGAATATCAGAAGTCAAAGTCTTTCAAAACTGAATCCAAAAATGCCTCCATGCGGGATGGGTGGTTTAGAAAAGGAAAGAAGAAAGGCACTTGGAGCAGTCGAGTTGCACCTGGGCCTTATATAGCACACTAGACAAAAATAAACCTTTATTTTCCTGCGAGTCGCCTGCAACTGTTTAGTTACTACCGAGGGAAGATGTTTTCTATTTTGGTGGCCCTACAGCTTTCTCTCCCTAATTAGAGCCTCCATATTGTCTGGCCATCTGCTGCTGGGTTCTACCCAAGTGGTGAGGGGAGAGGTATTTTATGATCTCATCCTTTTAGTGGGAGGATAAATTCCACATTAGTCTCATCACAGCACAATGCCTTTTGGGAAGGCACGCGGACCCCTCCTGGTGCTTCCTGTGTCACAGCGAAACACTTCCCCTGGCCGCAGAGGTGGGGGTTTCTGTTTGACCATCTCACAGCCAGCTAGCATGAAAACGTCATATGCAGAACAGATTCTACCTACTCTCTCCACCACTGTCCCTACGTTGTCTCCTATTGATTTGCTGCTTGATAGAAACTTGAATTTCCCCCCTATAGAGCTGCCTTCTCTTATGTAGAATCATTTTGGCTATTATTATACAACCTATTTGCATAGCCACCAACCCAGACTAACCCTTTGACCCCAGCTTCTCATTTTCCCACATTCAGTCCAGCACTCGGTTCATTGTTCACAGAGATCGCCCTCCACAGTCCTCATCCCTGCACATACACGTTTCTCCTCCTCCAAAGAGGTGAAGTCTACTAGTCCATCGCTGAATCTGGAATGGCCTTATGGCTTGCTTTGACATTGTGCTATTCTGGGCCTGAGCCTTCTAAGTCCCCCAAGTGTCTGCTTTTGTTCCTTGGGAGTCTACCCGCATGGAGAGAAGTCTAACACATCCCACACTGAGAGAGGCTGTGAAGACAGGCCTGGAGGAGACACTGCATAGTAAAAGAGGCCACATGAAGAAAGCCAATGACACAGATGTGTGCGTTAAGTCAGCTGACACCACGAGAAAAGAGAGGCCCAGCCAGCCCACCAGACTCAGCCTTCTGAGGCATCCCTCAGAAGGGACAGACATGTGACAGAGGCTCTGTTGGGTCCTCCAGGCCGGGCTGGCTGCCTGTGTCTGCACCAGTTAGAGCAGAGAAAAACTACCCCATCAAGATGCACCCGAGTTCTGACTTACAGATTTGTGAGTAATAAAGTGGTTATTGTTGTAAGCCCCTTAGTTTGGGGCTGATTCAGAAATACCATGATGATGACTATGATAATGAAAAAATCATGCTACCCTGTGTCTATGACCCCTTGCAATGTGATATAGCCATCTTCCTGTTTATGTTCCATATGTTGGAAAGAGAGAGAGAGAGGAAGCAAGCTCTGCCCTTTTAAGTTCAAATTGCAAATCCATGAGATAAATGATTTATTTATTAATTCACTAAATTTGGAGATGGTTTATTACATATCAATAGAAAAACATCATCTTACCAACACTCCAGTTGCCATCATTATTTTATTTAGTATATCAATGCCGGTGAAAGTTTCTTGGTAAAAGTTTTTTGATATGAAGAAATAAAAGCCAGTATCTAAATGTCTTCCAATAATGTGCCCCTGGAGCAAGTTTCTACTGGAAAACAAAAATTTCCAAGTAACCATTATAGCTATATATTTATTGATTCTTTTTGTTTTATTGATTTGAGAAACACTGATTTGTTGTTCCATTTATTTATGCATTTATTGGTTGATTCTATATATGTTCTGACTGAGGATTGAACCTACAACCTTGGTGTATTGGGACAACTCTCTAACCAACCGAATTACCCAATCAGGACTATGTATTGATTCTTTAAAAATAAAGTTGTTCCTCTGATGAATACATTCAAACTTACCATTTATTTCAGAAGTCTTATAAATGGTCAATAATTATGCTTTTTTATGTTCTTGCTATACAATCTTAGAATTCCAATTTTTATGTACTGTTACTGTTACCGGCTTAGCAAAGCGGAGTCCCCAGACAAGGAGCCTCAGCATCACCTGGGAACCTGTTGTCAGTTAAAGGGCCCCATTCAAGCCCTACTGAACTGACGTGGGTGAAGCCAGGCAACTTGCGTTTACTACAGAAGTTCTTCAAGTCAGATTCACCAGTAACTGTGTAGGTGGCCACTAAAACTTTGCAATTAAAGGAAGGGTCTCCTGGAAGGACCCATTGCCACCCAAAGACAACTCTCTTCTCTCTTCTTCTTCTTCTTCTTCTTCTTCTTCTTCTTCTTCTTCTTCTTCTTCTTCTTCTTTTCTCTCTCTCTCTCTCTCTCTCTCTCTCTCTCTCTCTCTCTCTCTCTCTCTCCTAAAAAATAATAAGGCATTAGAGAATAAACATCAGAAATGTTTTATTAAACACATAATACAATCAAAGGTGCTAATCTCTACAACTCATGTTATCAGATGGATGGATGGATGACAGGTACTAGGTAGGTAAGTAGGTGATTAGATAGATAGGTAGGTAGATAGATAGATAGATAGATAGATCTATAGATATAGATCTTCTCTGCAAAATTAATCCAAGATTTTAAAGTGTCCTCATTTTCTAGGTAAATTTTAACAAATAATCTGATAATAGAGTCTAATTTATGCCTGAAAAGGACTGACTTTCTCTTTTCCCTCACACTTTCTGCTCCTGTCAAGTGTTCTCATTTATCTCTACCTACTAGCCTCAGGTCAACCTAGAAGGAAGCAGTACATACATGTTAGGATCTCTGGCGCCCATTCCACCTTGTTTTAGCTCTTTTGCATGTTGGACTTACTAGTTGAGTCAGTAAAAACGGTTTTCATAGATTTTTTAAACAAGACTGAAAATCTTCTCATGGGGGAAGTATGCTACTATGTATTCTATTGTTTAACTAAATATTTCATCTCATAGTGACCTCTGCTGGGAAGAATAAGTATATCACAATGGCTGACAAGATAAGCCATTTTACACTCGTCAAGGCATTGGTTAATTTGGAAAGGTGATGCTGGTCAAATCTGTTATGTAGAGTTGTTACAGCCCAAATGTACTCTCTATATTTTTATTTAAAAATGTATTTTATGAAATATTTCATATTTATGAAGTAGAGGGAACAATAGGATAAACGCCACCCAACTTATCAAAACTTAACGTTTTGCCACCTCTACCTCAGATCTTTTTTACTAAGACATAAATATTTAAAAACAGTTCCCCCTCCCCTTTCAAGGGGGCACTTCAGTGTTCATCTTTCTCCTGAATATTTTCATAGTTATCCTTCATATGAACAAAAGGTACAGTGCTGCAAGTTTTCAATGTTGGCATAAATGGAATTACAAACATATCCGTCTACTTTTCTGAACTTCATACTTTTTCCGAATTTTACACTTTTCTGCTGTGTGCACTGATTGGCCTGTTACACGGGTGTAACTGTCACCCACATAGACAAACACAGTATACCCTGATCACCACCACCAAACTGTAAGGTAAGTTTCAAAGTCCAAGGTAAGCTGCATCCTATAGTCTATTTCAGACGCTGATTGAAATTCATTTCCATAATCATATACTCCTGGAGAGCAGCGATTTTTTTCAAAGCGGAGACAGGCAGCCGGGGCATCACCCGAGAACCTGTGAGGTTTGTCAATTAAAGGGCCCCGTTCCAGCCCCACGGAGGGGAGCCAGGCGCCTTGGGTTGAACCAGCCCAGCTGATCCGGACGCACTTTAAGGCTGGAGAATCGCGGCTGTCCATCAGTTGTAACAGATTGGCTTCGTGATCACGTAGTAACGGTGTGAGTGAACACCAGGGTCTAGTGTTACGCTTGAATAATGGAGTGAAGTTTGAATCACCTGTGTCTTTTCTAAGTCTCTCCCCGCCCCCCCTCGCCTCTGCAGTCAGCTGGTTCACCACAAAGCCCCGCGCTGGAGGGAGGGACGGAGAATCAAACTTCCCGAGGCCAGAGGTCTGAGCCAATCAGAAGACCGGCTCCAGCCGCTCGCCCATTCCGGCGGTGTGATTGGTGGGTTCCCGGCGGAAGAGCCCATCCATGGCCCCGCCCCATCCTGCCAGCGCCAACCAATCATCGCCCGGCGCTCGAACGAGCAAAACCGCGGCAGGGATTGAACATGGCGGGCCACGGAGCCGGCGGGTCGCGCGACTCCCGGGGGCGTGCTGACGGGGCGGACGCGGGGCCCTCGGAGGCGGGGCTGTGGGAAACGGCGGGAGAGAGCCAGGAGCAGTTCGGGGGCCAGGACCTGCCCGAGGACCCGGTGGAGGCGGGAGCCCCCGAGAAAGAGAGGGACGCGGGCCTGGAGGCGGAGGCCGAGGCGGTGGCTGCCGGCTGGATGCTGGATTTCCTCTGCGTCTCTCTCTGCCGGGCCTTCCGCGACGGCCGCTCCGAGGACTTCCACCGCACCCGGGACAGCGCCGAGGGTGAGTGCGGGGCGGCCGGCGGCGGCGAGGCCTGGTGCGCGGCGCCGGCCCCGGTCCCCCCGGCGGAGGGGCGGCGAGGGCGGGGAGCGGAGGGGCCCGGGCTCGGAGCCGTTTGCCGGCCTCTCACATCCGCCTCCTGTCAGCTCCCCAGTTTTTCGCGGATTCTGAGTTTTTCTGACAAAAAATGGGGCGGGGGAGAGGGACCTTTAAAGTTGATACAGGATAAAAATGTGCTAAAATTGTCAACCTGAGAAACACTCAAACCTGTAGAGGGTTTTTATGGCGTTATTTGAGCCAAACGGAGGACAGCAGCTGGGAAGCAAAATCGGAAGGGATCGAGAAAAAAAAATGCTCTGGAAAATGGCACTTCTGCACCTTCGGTTATTATTATTATACATTAGAAGCAAAGGGAAAGACGTAATTGATTTACGTGAAATCCATTAGTGACCGATGGGGGAGGAGGGCGGGAGAAAGCAAAGCGGGGAGGTGTCTGGGATTGGCTGAAAAGTGAAATGACAGACACCTGCGTCTCTAACTTAGTTAACTCAGTAACTGCAGCCCCAGGCGTGGATCTGGGGTCCGCCCCGGTGCGTAGGGTTTGTGCCCTGAGGGGTCTGGAAAAAAGGAAAAACACCCTGTCATTCCAAAGGTATGTTGTCTTAGATGCCAGAACACAATGGGCTCCATTAAAGTAAAGATTGACTTTCGTCAAGAAAGGTTGTAGCCTAGGCCAAGACTGCTTTTAGTTATAAAGCTTCCAGCCGAAACTAGTTTGGCTCAGTGGATAGAGCGTCGGCCTGCGGACTGAAGGGTCCCAGGTTCGATCCCGGTCAAGGGCATGTGCCTTGGTTGCGGGCACATCCCCAATGGGAGGTGTGCAAGAGGCAGCTGGTTGATGTTTTTCTCTCAACGGTGTTTCTGGCTCTCTATCTCTCTCCCTTCCTCTCTGTTAAAAAAAAAAAAAAAAAAAAAAAAAAAAAAAAAAGTTAATAAAATATACTTTAAAATAATAAAAAAAAATAATAATAATAAGTTTCCATTTCAGACCCTCTTTAGTGGTTACTTCAGGTCTCTTGAGTGCGTGAGGCCGCCACACAGGCCTCCCAGGGCTTGTCGGGTTTCCTGTGATGCCCCTGTTCGTTCACAAAATGTACAAAGTCACACCTAGCCCAGTGTCCAGTGTCTTTTGTCTTTGTTGGTGCTTGCATTTGTTTTTCTTGGCATTCAGGGGTTCCTGTCGTGGCGGTCAGTCCCCAGGCACTGTAGCCTCCAAGTGCCCTTCCTTCCTGGGCCTGGCTGTTTTCTGCTAACTTGTGAGCTCCCTGAGCCTCCTTGGACATGCATACACACAGCCTTTAAATGCCGAACAGACACATCCGTTGAGAAGACTAGCGTGGCTTTTTTGAATGCTAACAGAAAGATGTGTTAACAGCCGAAAATGGTTTGGCTCAGTGGATAGAGTGTCGGTCTGCGGACTGAAGGGTCCCGGGTTCGATTCCGGTCAGCGGCATGTACCTTGGTTAAGGGCACGTCCCCTATAGGGGGTGTGCAAGAGGCAGCTGATGGATGACTCTAACTCTCTATCCCTCTCTCTTCCTCTCTGTAAAAAATCGATGAAATATATATTTAAAAAAGAAAAAAGAAAGAAAGATGTGTTACCAGACTAAAGGGGTCCGTTTGCCTGCGTTCATCAAAGCCCTGAGAGTCAGCAGCAGGAGCTTGTTGCAAAGAAAGGCAGGGTTTTGTTTTAGAAGGTGGCACGAGCCCAGGAACAAATGAGCTAATTTGATGCTCAAAGACCTGGCTCCCTGATGGCTTCCAGGGGATGGGATCTGTAGGGGGAAAGCACTCATCCTGGAGATTAAGGGAGATCGGGTCCTGGTCTCTATTTGATTGGCTGACACTGGGGTAGTTAATCAGTGTCTCCATGTCCAGTCCTGATGCATGCCTGCCATGGCTTGGATGGGTATGGCTTCACTGCTTTTATGGGCCTGAAGCTGAAACACAGCGGAGTCCTACCTGTTATCTTGGTTTGATTGAAACTCTCTGTGGTCAGTGCTTTGTTCCTAAGATTATTTGATACAGACCAGAACCTTATTGTCTTGTGGGTTCGATTCCCAGTCAAGGGCACCCACCTGGGTTGCAAGTTGGATGACCGCCTCTCATTGGCCAGTGTGAGAAGCAGCCAATCAATGTGTCTCTCCAATTAGCTCCCTACTCCTCTTCTCCCTTCTCCTCCCCCTCCTTCTACTGCTCCCCCTCCCTTTCCCTAAAAAACCAGTGGAAAAAATATCCTCACTCCTTGGGTAAACGTTTTTGTTTGTTTGTTTTTTAAAAAGAGCCTAGTGGGCATGGCTCAGTGGTTGAGTGTCCACATATGAACCGGAAGGTCATGGTTCAGTTCCGGTCAGGGTATTTATTTGTACTAATCTCAAATATCTGAATGCTCACCCAAGTGTTATGCTAGTCAGTGAATATATACAGTGGTGAGTAAACCATAATCCTGGACCTCAGTGAGTTCATTACCATATAGCAGTGAAAGACAAATCATTGAACAACTAAAGTAAAAATGTGGAGGAAACCGAAAAAGATGAGTATAGAATGCTATGGAAACATATAATAAAGATGCATTAAGACCTAACAGGGCCATTATACTTCACCTAGCATTTACCTGATATATATAAAACTCAAAAAGCAGTCCAGCCAACACTAAACAGATAAGACAGATACGTTTCCTCAATTCTAAAATGCCTTAATTGCCGAAACCAGTTTGCCTCAGCCTGTTTGGATAGAGCCTCAAAAGTCCTAGGTTCGATTCTGGTCAAGGGCATGTACCTTCGTTGCGGGCACATCCCCAGTGGATGGTGTGTAGGAGGCAGCTGATTGATGTTTCTCTCTCATCGATGTTTCTAACTCTCTATCCCTCTCTCTTCCTCTCTGTAAAAAATCAATGAAATATATTTAGAAAATAAAATGCCTTAATATTGCATTAAAATTTAAACCAAATTCATTCAATATTTACTGAGCATGTATTTCTAGCCAATGTTAGGGACTAATGACTGAATGAGGAAAGAGCCAACTGGTCCTTGCCCCTCACGATGGTTTTAGGCACAAATTTAAAAGTTATGCAAGTGACTAATTAAAATCTGAATGAGTCCCATAGTGGGTAAGTAAAGCATAAGAGCAAAGTAACAGAAAAACCTAAGCTGTAGAGAAGAAAATCAGACCCCTTCTGTATTCACTTCCCTCCATATTCAGTTTAGTCACCTGTGCAGTCACTGCACATATCCTGCATACCAGTGCCCTTCTGAACAAGGAAAACCTATTTGATTGAAGCTGGCTACCTGCTTTTTCCACACCTGTAACCAACACTTAACTGAAACCTTGACAGAGTAATATAAAATATTTCCTATAACATTAGGAGTTTTAAAATAGAAAATAAGTTTCCAGATAATTACTAGACACATTTTATAATGAGTCTAAATCTCTCTATTCATTAGAGTGCTACATGTGAAAGTAGTTTTAAATACTTATTATCCTACATGTGAAATATTTGTTTTATTTTATAAGTTTTATAAAATAATTTTGTTCTGATATTTTTAAAATTGCCTATAAATAGCCCTGGCTTGTTTGGCTCAGTGGATAGAGCATCGGCCTGCAGACTGAAGGGTCACAGGTTCAATTCTGGTCAAGGGCACGTGCCTTGGTTGTGGACTCTATCCCTAGTGAGGGACGTGATTCTCTCTGATTATTGATGTTTCTATCTCTCTCCCTCTCTCTTCCTCTCTAAAATAAAAATATACATATAGTTTTTAAAAATTGCCTATAAATAAAAGAATATAGCTCTAAATTTATGGTAATTTTTGTGTGATGTTTATAACTTTTTCTCAACAAACCACATAGGTACTGCTGGATCAGGGTTGTTTTTTTAATGTTTTAATAAAAGTCACTTTTTTCTTTTTTCAGCTATTATTCATGGGTTATCTAGTCTCACATCTCATCAATTGAGAACTGTATACATATGCCAGTTTTTGACACGAATTGCATCAGGAAAAGCCCTTGGTAAATATGTATTTTTATCTTATATTGGAAATATTTCAGTCTATGTCTAAAGGTAAGATAATGAGAAACATATGGTGAGCCATCATTTGTTATTGAGAGTTTACCCACATGTATTTGTCATGTACACACAAGCTTATCTAAAGCAAGTAAAAGGGATACAGTCCCCACTTAGAGCAGTAGCTCTTAAACTTCATCCTGCTTCACAAATATGAGAGAACTTGTGAAAAAAGAAAGAATGCTGAATTCCCTTCCCCTCCATGAGTTTCTGATGCAGTGGGATGGGTGAGGGCCCTGGAGTTATGTTTCCTGTAAGTTCCCAGGTGATTCTGATGGTACTGTTGTGGTCCCACACTTCACAGACTCTACCTTGGAGATTTTAATTTTAATTTGTATGGTAACTGGTGGTGAGTTTTCCTGTCACACACAGTTTTTTACCAGCAACTATGATATGTGAAACCTCTTACTTGAACTTAATTTCAGCACTTATTTATTATATAAATAGATTTTTAACTATAATTTCTTTTGCTTTCCCCAGAGTTCATTTTAGATTGGAATGGGCATGCCTGATTCAGTTTATCATGGTCATTAAAAGGGCCTTTTGATTATAGTGAAGGTTCTGAATGTCACATTGAGATGTTTGTATATGATTTGCTAAGTAGTTAGCAACCACTGTGAGTCTTTGATCAAAAAAAAATCTAAGAAAGTTTAACAGTAGTAAAAATACTATCTCATTAAATATTCACATAAATCCTATGAGATAGTATTTATGTACACCATTTGTAGGTGAGAAAAAAGGAGGCTTAGGTGAATTAATGTTTTCGACACTATCCTATATAATAAAGATGTATGTAAAATACAAATGGTCATTACACCGTGAAGCATATCGAGTAGTGACAGATCACAGATCAGCAGGAGGGTGGGGCAGCGAGCTACAAGTGGGGTGGCAGAGCGCTGCAGGAGGGGTCAGGGCAGCGGGCACAGAGCTTCTGGAGGGCAGCAGCAAGCTACTGGCGCATGCATTCGACTCAGGGCTACTAGTACAGGTAAACAACCAAGTCTGGAATAAACTCCAAAGCAAGATTTTTAACCACTATACAGTGTTTTGATTGGATATGGTAAATGAGAAAAAGGAATGGAATGTTAATCTAATCACCTAGACTTAAAATCACCTTAGATTTTAAGTCTAGGTGATTAGAAGAATGTTAGTAGAGAAATAACTTTTTAAAAGATCCTATTTCACCCTAACTGGTTTGGCTCAATGGATAGGGCGTCGGCCTGCAGACTGAAAGGTCCAGGTTCAATTCCAGTCAAGGGCATGTACCTTGGTTGCAGGCACATCCCTAGTAGGAGGTGTGTAGGAGGCAGCAGATCGATGTTTCTCTCTCATCAATGTTTCTAACTCTATCCTCTCCCTTCCTCTCTGTAAAAAAATCAAATATATATATATTTTTTAAAAAGATCTTATTTCAAACATCCACAAAATATATAACAAGGATTTCAAGTAGTATATGGTAAAATTAGATACAAAATAAATAATTTCATGCTCTACAGGTTTGTTATAATATAGTCAGACTTATAAATCATTTAAGAATTCTGTTACTGTGATAGATACCTTATGTAATGTACTAGAGGTCCAGTGCACGAAATTCATGCACTCGGTAGGGGGGGTCCCCTCAGCCTGGCCTGTGCCTTCTCACAGTCCAGGAGCCCTGGGGAGATGCTCTACTGATGTTTCAGGGAGCAGGCCTAAGCCAGCAGTCTGACATCCTTAGTGCTGCCTCGGTGGCGCCACTGCTCTGGGCTCGTCAACTGTGAGCCCGGCTTCTGGCTCTCTGACCACCAGAAGGCAGCTCCTGCATTGAGCGTCTGCCCCCTGGTGGTCAGTGTGTGTCATAGCAACCAGGTCGTTCCGCTATTCAATCGATTTGCATACTAGCCTTTTATTATATAGGATAATTTATTTTAGTTCTTAAAATCAGTATTTTAATAAAGAAAAGCTTTAAATGCTTGGTAAACTAATTTAACTTTTTCCATTGTTAAAGTTGACTTTAATGAGGAAATTAACTTGAAAAGTTAGATCACTTCCCTAAGCTGCTATATATATTATATAAAAGCAGTGCCTAAGAGGTAGTATACACTTGGTAAATATTTAAACAAATGAATTTTTAAAATGGATGCAGTAAGGTTCTACTTAGCTTTCTAACTTACTTTATTTTTGTTCTGGTTTTAAAGATGCACAGTTTGAAACTGATGAACGAATTACACCCTTGGAATCAGCCCTGATGATTTGGGATTCAATTGAAAAAGAACATGACAAACTTCATGAAGAAATACAGAATTTAATTAAAATTCAGGTATGATTGTTATTTTCTGTTTATAATTATTTTGCTAGGAAATAAAAATATATCTAAATAAATTGAGTCATTCTAATAAAAGTTGGGAAGTAAATCCAGAGTAAAATTTAATGTAATCATTTTCTTTAGAAATTTGACCTTTGGTTTATAGTCTGGACATGAGCTCTCTAAGCTGGGACTTATAGTCTGCTATATACAGGTTTATTGTCACACTTTGGAAAATGTGCCACATCTATTTAAAGTTCATGTAGCAACTTTGAAAAACTTGTGGTTTGTGCCTTCTCATACACATACACACACACACACAAGAGGCCTGGTGCATGAAAATTCATGGGGGGAGGGGGGCTTCCTCAGCCTGGCCTGTGCCCCCTCTCACAGTCGGGAGCCTTCAGTGCGGGAGGCGGCACTGTGATCAGAGAAGGTGACTCCTCATCATACCTCTGCTGCTGCCACTGCTGGCAGCACAAGCCTCAGGCAACCCTGGGTGGCTGGGCAGCTGCCATCTGAGGCTTGCTTATGCCTCAGGCTGGCCATGGGGGGGCTGAGAGGTCTGGGTGTCTCCAGAGGCAGGCGCACGGAGTGTGTGCCTGCCACCCCAGAGGGGCTGAGAGGACTGGGTCCTGCCATCTTCTCTGGCTGTGGGTGCCATCATCTTTAAGGGCATGCCAGTCAATTAGCATATTCCCTCTTTATTGGCTGTGGAATTAGTATATTCCCTCTTTATTAGAGATGAGATATATAGAAAGTGTCAATGGATAGTTCAAGGAACAATTTTTTAAAAAACATATTTTTTTAATTGATTTCAGAGAGGAAGGGACAGGGAGAGAGACAGACAGACACGGGGGGTGGGAGATTGATGAGAATCACTGACCGATTGCCTCCTGCATGCCCCACACCGGGGATCAAGCCTATAGCCCAGATATATGCCCCAAACAGCAATTGAACCATGACCTCCTGGTTCATAGGTTGACACTCAACCACTGAGCCATACCGGCTGGTGCCCTCAATTTTTTTTTAATTTTATTTAAAGATTATAAGTGTGAAAAAATTAGGATATTTCATTTTTTAAAGAATCAATAAATTTTTTGGTGATGAAGAGAACAAAGTTTTAACTATGTAGAAAGAATTTAGGAGTAACCAATTAAAGAGTGATAAGCCAAAAAAGTCACTCAAAGTTAGAAGGGGAAATGTGTTTTGCTAAGAGGAATTTTGTTAGGTGAATAAACTTTTCCACATTTAAAAATGTTTTACTGTTGGGTAGGAAGGAAAAATCCCACCTTCCCAGGAATTAATTTTTTATATTATAGTGACTGTCAAGTAGAATTAAGACATGATGAGAATGGCTTGGGTGCCAGGCCTGCAGGTTTGTGTTTCCAATCCACGCCCTCTCCTCCCCCCCTGCCCCAAGTCCAGGGCGGCAGGGCTTGGGGCTTCAGGGTGCTAGCCTCCCTGTGTGGGTGTGTCTTCGATCCGGCCCCCTGCAGCCCCAGTGTAGCCATGGTGGGGCTTGGGACTGCTGGGTGCCGGCCTCCCTGCAGGTTTGTGTCTCTGATCTAGGGGCTGCTGGGTTCCGGCCCACAGCCCCAGCACGGCCATGGCGGGAGTTGGGGCTGCTGGGTGCTGGCCTCTCTTCAGGTTTGTGTCTCCATCTGGGGCTGCTGGGTGCCAGCCTCCCTATAAGTTTATGTCTCCAATCCGGGGCTGCTGGGTGCCAGCCCCCAGCGGGAGTGTGCTCTGATCCAGGGCCAAAGCCCCAATGTGGCCATGGGGCTCCTGGGTGCTGGCCTCCCTGTAAGTTTGTGTCTCTGATCCAGGGCTGCTGGGTGCCAGCCTCCCTATAAGTCTGTGCCTTCGATCTGGGGGCTGGCCCCCTGAAGTTTGTCTCCGATCTGGGGCTGCTGGGTGCCAGCCTCTCTGTGAGTTTGTATCTTTGATCTGGGGGCTACTGGGTGCCAGCCTTCCTGTGGGTTTGTGTCTCCCATCCACCTGGCAGCCCTAGCGCCACCTGGCCAATATGGGCCTCACCATCTTGGTTGGGTTGATTTGCATACTCCTATTAGCTGATAGCATAGCAAAGATATGGTCAGTTTGCATGTTTCTCTTATTAGATGGGACTAGAGGCCCAATGCACGAATTTGTACACCAGTGGGGTCCCTTGTCTTGGCCTGTGGAACTGGGCTGAAACTGGCTCTCAGAGATCCCCTGAGTAGTCCTGGATTGCGAGAGGGTGCAGGCCAGGCCAAGGGACCCCACTGGTACATGATCAGGGCGGGGAAGGATGTGGGAGGTTGGCCAGCTGGGGAGGGACTGTGGGAGTGCTCCGAGGTGTGTCCGGCTCGTCTTGCTCAGTCCTGATCAGCTGGACCCTAGCAGCAAGTCGCAGTATCTGCCCCCATGGTGGTCAGTGCACATCATAGCAGTTGGTGGTCAACTGTCTGCCCTCTGATGGTCAGTGCATGTCATAACAAGCAGTTGAGAGGACTTAGCATATCATTAGCTTGATTGGTTGAACGGCCAACCAGTCAACCAGACACCTAGCATCTTAGGCTTTTATTATATAGGATATGAAATTTCTTCATGTCTTTTCAAACCACAGTTATTTTATCTTTGAAAAACTATATACTGGTAATTTATTAAATCAAAATTATTAAACTCCAAAAAATAATATTAAACTACAGAAAAATATTTGAAGTAGTTTAGACTTCTGTGTGTTATTTCAGCATCAAACAACAATTCATTATTTTACAAAACAATTTTAAGGTATGCATTTGTCTTTTAGGCTGTAGCTGTTTGTATGGAAAGTGGCAATTTTAAGGAAGCAGAAGAAGTCTTTGAAAGAATATTTGATGACTCAGATTCTGATACGGTAATTGTTTAAATTAGAATCAGAATTGTAGAAGTTTATATGGCATGAGGGAAATGGGAAGAACATGGAAGGAGAAAGGAATGATGAACAGTATAGAGCAGTGCTGTCCAGTAGAAATAAGTGCAAGTCCAATATGTGATTTTACATTTTCTAGTAGCCACATGAAAAAAGTTTTTAAAAAAAAACAAGTGAAGCTAATTTTAATAATATTTTATTTAACTCAATATGTTAAAAAAAAAAAAAAACATTGTCGTTTTTAACATTTAATCAATATAAGAATGTATTGATGAAATATTTTGCTTGAGAGAGGACGGGAGAGGGAGAGAGAGATAGAAACATCAGTGATAGGAGAGAATAATTGATTGGCTGCCTCCCCCTACTGGGGATGGAGTTTGCAATCCAGGCACGTACCCTGACCTGAAATCGCACCTCAACTTCCTGATTCATAGGTAAACACTCAACCAGTGAGCCACACCGGCTGGGCTGGGATCATACATTTTAAAGGCTCAGTAGCCATATGTGGCTAGTGGCTACTATATTAGGTAATGCAGTTTGGAAGAAGGCATTATAACTTGCTTATTTTTCTAAAGTTTTTTATGTGTTCATTAGTCGTTAAGGTCAAAGATTAAAAGCAAAGTGCCATTGGAGTAAATTAAGCTTATTCAAAGAAAGAGTTTATGTGTTTTCTGTTAACTTGTTATTAATAGCATACCTTTAGTATAGTGCATGCACCATAAATGTGTAAGAGGTGTTTTTTTCACACAAGGAGCACACTTGTGTGATGGGCCCCTAAGCTATGAGTGAGAAGATTACCAGAACCCCAACCTTCAGTCACTGTCCTTCCCACCTTCTCCAGGCTAACCACTGGTCTGACTTGTAACATCCAAGTTCAATTTTACTTGTTTCTGAACTTATTTAATAGAATCATATGGCAAGTTTATATATTAATATTGATCCATGGTGTTGCTTATAACAATACTTTGTTCATTCTCATTGCTTCATTGTAGGAATATACTATAACATTCTACTTTTGATGGACATTTGAAGTCATTTTCAGTTTGGGGCTATTACATACCTTTATACTTGTCTTTTGTAGTATATATACAGGGTGTCCCAAAGAAATATTTACACACTTAAATAGCTGGTAACTCACTCACCATAATTTTCACTCTTTTTCAGGTTTAACTGATTTGAAATAAAGGGTAAAACTAGACTAAGCTTTGAACAAAGAAAATTTATCCTAAAATGCCACTAGACTTTTTTATGGAAATACATAAAAGATAAAACTGGCAACAGTCAACGAATTGGAAGCATACAAATACTGAAAGAAATGATTCTTTTTTGTTAACCCTCATCTGATTTTTTTTTTCCCCCATTGATTTTTAGAGGGGAAGACAGGGAGAGAAACAGTGAGAGAAACAACGATGTGAAAGAGACATATCAATTGGTTGCCTCCAGACATTGAGCCTGCAACCGTAGAGGTATGTGCCCTTGACCACAATCAAACCTGAGACCCTAGAGTCCACAAGCCAACACTCTAACCACTGAGCAAATTGGCTAAGGCGAAATGATTCTTGATATTTGCAATTCCAATGCTTCACATTATCAGCAGTGTCTGAACTAGAACGCTCATCAGTTTAGAAACAGGCACAAAACAATATTCATTTCTACAGATACCTTTAAATTTTGAAAATGAACTGTGTTAATAAACACTGACTTTTTAATCATTCAAAGTGCATATACATTTTTTGGGGCACCTTGTATGTGTTTTTATTGGTATGTGCTTAGGAATAGAATTGATAGGTAATAGGATAGGAACATAGTCATTCAGTTTTGGTAGATGCTGCCAAATAGTTATATTAATATTATTTCAGTTTCTCTAGTGCTATGGGAGACAGAGAAAGTGAAAGGGTGGGGGAGATACAGAGAGAAACATTGATGTAAGAGAAACAAATTAATTGGTTGCCTCCCACACACACCCCAACCAGGATTGGGGGTCGAGCCTGCAACCAAGGTACATGTCCTTGACTGGAATCAAACCCAGGACTCTTAAGTCCATGGGCCAGTGCTCTATTCACTGAGCAAAAATGGCCTGGGCTATGTTGAGTTTTAATTTGCTTCCCTGATGACTCGTGCAGGCGAGCATCTTTTCATTTACTGTACAAATCCAGAGTTATGGGTGATCACTTTCATCCATTGAGGGACTAAGCCAGATGGAGGGTTAGTTATAGTTTTAGTATGGCTCAGTCTATGTCTAATTTGCTCCTGTTCCTGGGGTGTAACACCAGATTACAGCAGAAAGCCTGATACATTTATTGGGTTCCCTGCCCTTACTTATAAACAAGGGCTGTGATCGTACAGATGATGTCTTAGTTCTTAAAGTTGGTAATGGACATTCAGGTTTGTAATCTTTTTAAAGTTTTTTGTATGTGTGTGAAATATAAGGTTTATTTTTTAATTCAGAAGAAAATAAATTGGTGAGCGATTTAAAATGAGAATCTTAAACTCTTAATTGTAGATCTTTGAGTTTATATTTACAAATTTATATTTAATTTATGAAAAAATTTCTAGTAGCTTATTTGATTTATGGGTTAATGTTTCTTCTCTTTTCTCTAGTCTTTACAAAGAAAATTGCTTATGATAATCTCTCAGAAAGATACATTTCATTCTTTTTTCCAACACTTCAACTACAGCCATATGATGGAGAAAATTAAGAGTTTTGTGAATTACGTGCTTGTTGAAAAATCATCAACATTTCTAATGAAGGTATGCATATATTCAGAAAGATTGGTAGACTTAGGAGAAATTAACATAATAAAGAAGAATACTTGAAATAGAAATCCTTTAAAAGCAAATCAGAATTTTGTGTAGTGATTTTTTTGTAAAGGAATGTGACAAAATGTTACAATTAGGGAATGTAAAGGGTTTCTTGGTAATTTTTGTAGTATATTTACAACTTTTCAAAATAAGAGTTGCAATTTTTCAAAATAAAAAATTGAGAGGAAAAACTTAGAATGAATTAAGAAAAAAGTTGGTTTCAATTTAAATTTTAATGAAAGTTTTTGCATATTTTTTGGAAAAAATAAAGTAACTTTTTTATCTTAAAGTTTCCAAGAGAGCATTGTAGGTATGACATATTTGCAAGGAAAGACCTGCATAATGCTTATAAACCAAGCAGATAGCTTCAGCACAGTGCCCTTGATTGGCTTGTGAACAGATATTTTGGTTATAACTGTCAAAGAATTAGAAGCTTTAATTTAATGTTCTTTGTTTAAAATGGCTTAATGCATTCCTTTCTTTCCCCAACCCCTTTTTTTAAGGCAGCAGCAAAAGTAGTGGAAAGTAAAAGAGCGAGAACAACAGTTTCTCAAGATAAGCCTAATGGTAATGAAGTTGAAGTAGAAACTGAAGCTAATTTGGAAGTACAGAAAAGGTTTGTAAATCCATTTACATATTTTTTTCTTCTGATGCAGTCTTTTTATGTAAAAGTGATACTAGTGAGCCATTTTAAACAAAAATAATTATTGAGCTGTGGGTATATTGTCTTGCTGATGATTAACATTTGTTGATTTGGCTTATGTAGAGTTATTTCATGGTTTATGCAAAATTCTGTTATATATGCCAAACAAAAGTAGAGAGTGAAGAAATACACAGTTTAAATAATGTAATGTCACTTACCATTCTCAGGGGACATGTGCTCTGAAACAGTGTTGAGGTTGGAAACTTGAATCTGTTCTCAGATCCCGCTTGCCCTATTATTTGACTATTTGACTGCACTGAGGGTTATTCTGCTATTTAAGACATTGCTCATACGTCTTCCCTAAGTAATGGTAAGCTAGCCCGCTTATCTGCTCCTCCACTAAAGAAACAGTGATTTGCTCCAGTGCTGAGGGAAACCACCGTTTAGTCGCACATATTGAGAGACAAGAGTTCAGTCTCCAGAGTTGTTAATTTAAGGGTTTGCAAGGGTGACTTACACAATTGATTTTACTTTTGCTTTGATTTTATAAGCTAACCCTGTCAATAATAAAATCCCTTCCATTATGATGACCTTTTCTATTGAATCTATGGTCCATTCCCTCCATTCTTTCACCCTTAATTCAAGGCCTGAAGATAGTCATTTTGTGGTCTCCTTAACTACTTATTTAGAGGTGAGGATTGGTGTCCAACACCTCAGGACATAGCTTTGGTCACACCTCAGGGCTGAGCTCAGTCATCTTATAATTAACCTCTTCTGTCCCTGCTATGAGAACAGGATCTTCTCCTCTCTGGCTCATCTCTGCAAAGACTCTGTTAAAGTCTTAAATCTTATTGATTTTTTTTACCCTCAAAGGCTCCTTCTGAGAAGTATAGATTTTATTTTTTAAATTTACCATTTTATTTGTTTTGGGTTTTTTTTGTTTGTTTGTTTTTTGTTAATTCTCACCAGAGAGAGAAAGACAAAGATCAAAGTAAGAGAAACATCAATTGGTGGGGCCTCCTACATGCACCCCCACCAAGGCCAGGGATTGAACCTGCATCCCAGATATATGCCCTTGACAGGGAATCGAACCCAAGAACCTTCAGTGCATGGCTGATCCTATTCACTGGGCCACACTGGCCAGGGCCAGATTTTATTTTTATTGGTTCAATTATTGTATTTTGTTTAGGAAATTAAAATTTAGTAATAACTAATATCTAATACATTCTTGTGGCCCAGCCTTCCTGCCCAGCAGAATACTGCTTTAAAATAAAGATTTACCACGATTCTGGCAGATAATGAACACCTATCCTATGTGCCTTCCTTATATAGTACCACTTACTAGTTTCAAATGTCTAGACACAGTAAATCAGTATGTAAAACAGAATTCTTGATTTCTCATCTGCTCTCTGTAACCTAACTCCCTCACCTCACACATCCAGTTACCTCCCCAAGTGTTATGAATCCCATCTCAGAAATGTTTCTCTAACCCATCCTTTCTTATAATTTATTAGAGGCTCGGTACACGGATTTGTGCACCAGTGGGGTCCCTCAGACTGGCCTGCGCCCTCTTGCAATCTGGGAGCCCTTGGGAATGTCAGACTCCCAGTTTCAGCCCAATCCTGCAGGCCAGGCCAAAGGACCCTGCACCAGGCTTCTAGTCCTATATAATAAAAGGCTAATATGCAAATCAACCCAACAGTGGAACCACCAGTTGCCATGATGCGCACTGACCACCAAGGGCAGATGCTCAATGCAGGAGCTGCCCTCTAGTGGTCAGTGCGCTCCCATAGGGGAGCCACTTAGCCAGAAGCCGGGCTCATGGCTGACAGGGGCAACAGCAGTGGCAGGAGCCAGCAGTGCTAAGGATGTCTGATTGACTCGGGGACACACACACACACACACACACACACACACACACACACACAGGACACCTGGCCTAGGCCATCACTTAGACATCCCCTAAGGGCTCCTAGACTTTGAGAAGGCACAGGCTGGGCTAAGGGGACCCACCCCCCCGAGTGCAAGAATTTCATGTACTGGGCCTCTAGTATGCATATAAGATCTTTGGTTAATCTCTTTCCTCCTCCCCCCTTCCCTCTGAGATTCATCAGTCTGTTCCATGTTTCCATGCCTGTGTGTTGAGCGTCTGCCCCCGGGTGGTCAGTGCACATCATAGTTACTGGTCGGATGGTCGCTTAGGCGTGTGTTTGTGTGTGTGTGTGTGTGTGTGTGTGTGTGTGTATTTTTGATTATTACTTAGCTATGTACCACACAAATCCATCCTTGGCATGACTTCCAAAGTTAGCTTCCCATGAAAGCAAGTCTGTCTAAATGACTTCACTATAACCACTATTGGCTTTTTGCTTCTTATTAGGTGAGTTATAATTTATTGGCATGTCTTACAGGGCCTTACATAGCCTCTTTCTGGTTTTGTTTTTGTCTTTTTTCTTTTTTTTTCTCTTAGATAATATTGTCCCTCCCTGTCCACATTCATGGTACTTTCTAACAGCCAGAACTTCTCCCTCATCTTGAAATATTACAAGCTGTTTCATGCCTTGACCCTTGCTTCAGTTTTTGTGGGTATTTCTTTTTTTTAATCCTCACCTGAGGATATTTTCCCATTGATTTTTACATTGAGTGGAAGAGAAAGGGAAAGACAAAGAAATATCCATGTGAGAGAAACACATTGATTGGTTGCCGCCTGCAGGAGCCCTGACCAGGGCCTGGGACGGGGAGGAGCCTGCAAACGAGGTAGGTGCCCTTTACTAGAATCAAACCCAGGACCAGTCCGCAGGCCAACACTGATCCACTGAGCCAAATGGCTAGGGCAGCAAGGAATGTTTTATGTTTGTTTAATTGATTTCAGAGAGAGGAAGGGAGAGGGAGAGAGACTGAAACATCAGTGATGAGAGAGAATCATTGATTGGCTGCATCTGCACCCCCTTTACTGGAATCGAGCCCGAAACCCAATCATGTGCCCTTGACCAGAATCGAACCTGGGACCCTTCAGTCCACAGGCCGACACTCTATCCATTGAGCCAAACCGGCTAGAGTCAGTTTTTGTGTTTTTTAAAACATTTTTAAGTATGTTTTTATTGATTTTTTAGGGAGGAGAGAAGCATTGATTGGCTGCCTCCTGCACCCCCCCCTACTGGTGATCAAACCCTCAACCCATGCTTGTGCCCTGTCCAGAAATCAAACCAGCAACCTCTCCATGCATGGGACTATGCTCCAACTGAACCACACCAGCCAGGGCTCTTCAGCTTTGAATTTCCTTCTTTCTGGTCTCTTCAAGGCAAGCTCTTACTTGCCACTCAAGGTCTAGCTCAAAGATCACCTACAAGAAGTCTCGTGCTCTCTGATCAGAGTTGTCACTCTGTGCTCCCATAGCACTGAGTCGCACTTGTGTGAAGGGACTTATGGACAGTAACGTATTTGTTTGTCTGTATCACTAGATTGAGAATTCTTTAGAGATTCTTAATTAGCTTTGTATCCATGGTACCTAGTTCATTACCAGGTATACATTAGAACTTGCAGTGCACTAGACATAGAGAACAAAACCAACACTAGACACAAAGTAGAGATCAAGAAGTAAGCAACTAACAAAGCTATCCTGGAAGCAAATAGAACTAGAGTTGGACTGCAAAGTCATACAAATGCTAGGAAAAATGAAGCCCTTGATGTTATCAGTACTAAATGAAATATTGTGCTCTGCTAAAGCTTATAAACTATTTGAGGCCATCAGAATTATAGATGTGAAACGAACAGACATTACCTAGCTTGTTAGTGTATAGATGGACTTACACGCTGGAAGACTACATGACAGCTTCAAGGACATTCAGCACTGAGCAGAGCCTGGAGGGTGGTGAAGATTTTTACAGGTGGATGGAAGAGGAAGTGTCCTTTCAGGAGAGGATAGATGCTGTGAAGCCGTGGTGATATAAATGGTGGTGCTGTGTGTGGGGCTAATTTTAACTATCACAAAGGGGAAGGATTTATAAAAAACATCAGCCTTGGCCAGTGTTTCACAATAGTTAGAGTGTCAACCCACACACCAAAGGGTGGTGAGTTGATTCCTGATCAAAGGCATGTGCCTGGGTTGCCGGATTGATACCCACCGTGGTCAAGGCACATGTGGGAAGCAATCAAGCGATGTGTCTCTCTCACATCAATGTTTTTATCTTTCTCCCCCTTCCTCCCTCCCTCCCACTCTTTATAAAAGTCAATGAAAAAATACCAGAAAATAAAGTTCAGTTAGAGACTAGTGGCAAAAATTAGTCATGTTGTAATGAAATATATATACCAGTGTTACCAGGATTTCTTTCGCAAAGATGGTTTTTATGCACTGAAATTTTTAATAAATTGCGTGAAAAGTACTATTCTATTTTGTCTTGTTTTTTTTTTAGAGACAGAAAGAAATGCTAATTTGTTGTTCCACTTATTTATGCATTCATTTGTTGATTCTTATATGTGCTCTGACCAGGGATGAAACCCACAACCTTGGCATATCGAGACAATGGTCTATATGGTTGGCAAACTGTAGCTCGTGAGCCACATGTGGCTCTTTGGCCCCTTTAAGTGTGACTCTTCCACAAAATACCATGGCCTGGGCAAGTCTATTTTGAAGAAGTGGTTTAAGTTTAAAAAATTTGGCTCTCAAAAGAAATTTCAATCATTATACAGTTGATATTTGGCTCTGTTGACTAATGAGTTTGCCTACCACTGTTCTAACCAACTGAGCTACCTAGCCAGGGTAAAAAGGACTGTTCTTTTTGTTCTTTATTTTTTTTTAAATATATTTTATTGATTTTGTACAGAGAGGAAGGGAGAGAGACAGAGAGTTAGAAACATCGATGAGTCATCGATCAGCTGCCTCTTGCACACCCCCTACTGGGGATATGCCCGCAACCAAGGTACATGCCCTTGACCGGAATCGAACCCCGGACCCTTCAGTCCCCAAGCCGACGCTCTATCCATTGAGCCAAACCGGTTTCGGCAAAAAAAGGACTGTTCTTATGTTTATTTTTATTGCATTCTTATAATTATTTTCTTTTTTTCAGTGTTAATAGCAAACCATCTGTAGTAACTGAATCCTCACAGGATACAATATCTTTAATGAGGTAAAGTAAATAGACATTTCTTCTCTGTTTTTAAAATCTTTTTTGGAATTCATATAGTACCTAGACAGGTCATAATAACTGCCATGAAAATGGTATTATTTTTAAAATATTGCCCGTTTCTACTTACGTCAGCAGATATTCAAGACCCTGACATGTCCTGATATTCCAAACTAGAGAGACCCGCCTCTGGGACCCAGGTGGTTTCACATTGTACATTGTATCTACAAGGCCATTGTTGGAATGCGTGCATAGGGAATACTAGAACTGAAAGCAGGTGTTTAGCAATTCTCCCTCTGCCATAGAAATAAGATGTTGCAGCAGGAGAGGGATGGAACTTACATTTCTGATGACTGTCCCAAATTCTGATTTTTTTTTAAAGCATGTTTTTATTGATTTTAGTGGGGGAGGAGGGAGATAGAGAGAAACATTGGTTGGTTGCCTCCTGTAAGCACCCAGACAGATTGAACTGGAGATCTTTTGGTGCATAGGATAACAGCCAACCAACTGAGTCACATCAGCCAGGGCTCAAATTCCAATTTTATGAAATTACTTGGAAAACTGTATATAACCTATTAGAAATGCTGTGAGAGTCATGTCACATGTTCAGAGAGCAGAAAGTTTGCATCAATAATTTCAGAGATAGAAAAGTCAGGATGCTGACTGAAATTGTGTTGGGAATGGCAGATCTCGGGGGGAGGAGCTCATTGGGAATGAGAAATTTGAGAGACTAGGATGCTATATGCGTTACCTGTGGGAACACTGAAATAACTCATGATAACAGCAGCAGTTAGAGATAGAGAGATCTGAATGATGGGAAGTGCTGAGAAGGATAGTGGTTAACTGAAGAATAGTAGGTGGTGGGTGGTAGTGCATCACAGTGGCACAAGTCCTCCCCGGCTAAGGTATCTGTGGAAGCAGGATCCTGAAAGTGGCACTCATTAGGAAATGAAAAGTAGAAAGATCCACCTCTGCGACCCCGAGGTTCATGGAAGACAGAAAATTAAGTCTCTACTTGAGAAGTTCACAAATGAGAGAAAAATTGTCCCTAAGGGAGAGCTACACGTTAAAGAAGGCAAAGAGGTGGGGTACGGGTGAAGAGGCTGGAATGGCATTCCAGAGAGCACAGGAGGAAGTTTTGGGATGGAGGGAAAGGATTAGCAGGTTACATAGAGCACTTACAGGGGTGAAAGTAGTGGTTTTAGGTGGTGATAAAATAGCTGCTTGGTAAGTGAACTACTTTTTTCATCATAGTTTGCATTTTGATAAAATTGGAATACTAATTTTGCAGAGTTGTCAAAAAAATTCTGCCTTATCCTGTATTTTCAAACAGCTTACCTTTCAGAAAAGTCCTTTTCGGAAGCTATAAAGACAGTCAAGTGATACCTGCCATTGTGTAAAGGAATTTTGGAATTTCTCTTTGGGGAAATGAACTTATAAGCCATAGCAAAGAATGAAAATTTTTGCTTTTTGGTCTGAGGATTTTTTTTTTTTTCTTGATCTACCTAATTGAAGGCCAAAAAGAATCTTCATTCTGAGTAGATGAAATAGAGAAAATAAGTGATGAGAGAAAGGTGAGTCTGATAATGAAAAATCTTAAGAGGCCATAGTTAAGATGGGACACTAAGCAAGGAGAGCATCAAAGGGAACTGGCCAAACTAAATGACCGAGAAAAAATAACACTTTTTTTTTAAACCAGTCACGAGCTTTGATTTTTCATTTAGGTCTCACAAGAATCTCTTCTTATCTAAGTCCCAATACGGACACCAATCAGAAGATTTGAATGAGAAAGAAAAAGCAGAAACTCTTATAAGTGAGTACTCTTACTACAGTTTTAGAAGTGGAAAATTGATGTGTTCTTGAAAGCGAGCCAACCCTTGACCTCATCACCACAGCGCGTGAACACACTTCAGACCATTGAAGCACGAGATTAAATGTCATGACTTCACAGAATCATTTATAGGTAGTGTTAGAAATTTAGCTGCTCTGACTGCCGAGTTTATAGACTTATGCTAATGTGTACACTGCTTTTCTACTGTAACTTTATTTAGCAACTTGGAATAGTTACTTAACTAACATTATGTTCTTTAAAGTCTCCATGAACACTGATTTAGTGAATACTGAAACTATGGCGAGGATGGGATAGGTTCCTTGAAGCCTCTGGTCACAGTTTTGTCAACTAATCAGTACATAACCTTTTTTATGTGTTTCTGTTTAAAGACATCTTATTTAATATATATTGTGTATTCATTAACATTGAACTCATGGCAAACAGCACTGTAACTTCATGCCTAAATGAAGCTTATCTATCGTATTCTCTCTAGAGGGAGCACTTCTTGCATTTAGGAACATTAGATAGCATTTCCCCCATACAATTGGGCATTTTAAAATTACTACAAAGTTACCAGCAGATATCATTAAGGGCAGTTATTTATAGCTTGAGAGCTAAAATAAGGCAGAGCTTCATCTTCTTTAACTTCAGTTGGAAATGTGCACCTCAGGTTTTTTGCACACGTCCACCAATGACCATGAAAGCACTATGAGTATTGACTTATTGAGTTACAAATTTTAATAAGTAGGTGGATTTTTAAATACAGAATCCTTGAATATGAAAATTAACTATATATAGAATCTAGCTATCCTCATTGCATTCAGAATTTATTATCTTTATTAAAGACATGGCTGGATTGATTTAAGAAACAAGTAACAATAACCAAAAAATAAATCTTAAAAGCGGTCCATAGTTATTTTTAATTATAATTTGACTATATGTTCCTTCTTAGTATGTAGGCATTTATCCAATGTTTATTGAACTGACACTATATTCTAGATACTCCACTAATGCAAGGATTTTAAATCCTTATTGGCCCTGGTTGGTGGCTCAGTGGTTAGGGCATTGACCCATGGACAAAAGGGTCCTGGGTGTGATTCCCAGTCAAGGGCACCTGAGTTGCAGCTTGACCTCTGTGCCCTGGCCAAGGCATCTGCTGGAGGCAAGCAATTGATGTGTTTCTCTCATGTTAATGTTTCTCTCTCTCTCTCCCCCTCCCTCTCTCCCCCCCCCTCCCCTTCACCTCCTCTCTCCTCCCTCGTCCACCCTCTCTTTCCCTTGTCCACCCTCTCTCTCCCTTTTTACCCTCCCTCCTACTTTCTCTAGAAGTCAATGGAGCCAAAACCAATTTGGCTCAGTAGATAGAGCGTTGGCCTACGGGCTGAAGGGTCCTAGGTTCGATTCCAGTTAAGGGCATGTACCCTGGTTGTGGCATATGCCCAGTAGAGGGTGTGCAAGAGACAGCTGATCAATGTTTCTCTCTCACTGATGTTTCTAACTTTCTATCCCTCTTCCTCTCTGTAAAAAATCAATAAAATATATATATATATTTTTTAAAATATCCCCAGGAGTGGGGATTTTTTATAAAACCTTATTTATCCAAACCTAAATACACTAATTAATATAAAAATAATAGATGTACCAATTTTATGCCAAGTACATAAAAGGCCTGGAATAAATATTAATTGAATAAATATATTCATAATTTATGGCTACTTTCATGGTCACTATTAGCTAATATCTATGTACTGCAGATCGAAATCATTTACCTATAGATGTTATCATCATTCTCATTTTAAAGATGGTAAAGTTTAATTCAAAGAAATATTTGCTTCATGTAGGTTAAGTTTCAAAATTGTTTTTCTATATCTATTGCTACAAAATGCCTAGGAATTATAATTCTAAACTAAAATAATTTGGTTTCCTTGACCTACTTAGGTGCCTATTTGACTAACTACAGAAACTGCTTGATATCAGGAAATAAACAAGCCTTGTACATTCAGCAAGAACTGTAGAAATGCTCATGGTGAACTATCTCTCCTAACACACATAGTTTTAGAATAATCTTAAATTCTACAAAGAACCCTATTGAAATTTTAATTTGAGATTGCAATTTTGAGAACAATTTTGGAGAGAATTGACACAATTATAGGAAATCTTCCTGTGCATGAACAAAAGGTGTATTTCTGTATTTAGATTCTTATATATTTTGTTATAACGTATGTGTACAAATGCTTTATAATTTACTGTATGTAAGTCTTGATCACGTTTGCTATGTTTATCCCTAAGAATGTTACATTTTTGATACTGTAAATATTATCTTTCAGTTGTTTTAATTAAATATTTTAACTGTTATTAATGTACAGAAGTTCTATTTAGTTTTGTTTATTGAGCTAACAAATAATAGTTTATTATCTACCCATCTTGCTAAACCTTTTTTATTTCTATTTTTAGATTCTTTTAGGTTTTCTGTATAAAAATTTTCATATAATAATTATAGTTCTATGTCTTTTCAGTTACATATATATTTCTTGTTTTACTAAACTATAAGAAGGGATGAGGAAAGAATTATACTACATTGTATCAAATACTTTTTAAATGTTATCCAAAGAAAATTTAACAGATGATGAAAAGGCAGGATCTGGGAGGTGAGATGACTTGTTTAAAGTCATGCAAAATAATCAAGATTCAAAACACATCCCCTCTGATTTTCTAGTACTGATCTTTGCATTGTGTAATGCTGTCTCAAGATTCAAAGGTGGGGAGAATTAAACACAAAGAATTATTTCCCTTTAAAATCACTAAAACAGTAAATAAGAATTTCATTGTAATTTTTTAAAATGCAATTCCTCATTTTCTTTTAATGTAAAACAATTTTTGATGGCAGTTTTTCTACTTTTAGCTAGAAGAAAGACACAGGGAACCAGACATGCCACTGAAAGAAAGAGAAAGGATGTTTTAAACAATCAACCAGAAACTTCTAAAAATTACCGATCTAGAAAAAAACAGGTACTTATTTATTATTTTTAAATAATACTTAATGGACAGTAAAGTCATAACTTGGATAATTGTGATTATTTCATGTTTCTTTTCAACCCTAAAAAAAAAAAATTGTTAGTATAAATGTTTCTTTTGGGCTGTCTCTGATTTTGCTATCCTATATAATAAAGAGGTAATATGCAAATTGACTGTCATGCCCAAGTACAAGATGGCTGGCCCTATGTGGTCACAAGATGACCAGCAGGCGAGGGCAGTTGTGGGCAATCAGGCGAGCAGGGGAGGGCAGTTGGGGGCGATCAGGCCAGTAGGGGAACAGTTAGGAATAGTTCAAACTTGTAGGCAGAAGAGGTTAGGGGCAATCAGGCAGGCAGGCATGTGAACAGTTGGGAGCCAGCAGTCCCAGATTGTGAGAGGGATGTCTGACTGCCTGTGGGATCCGGCCTAAACCGGCAGTCAGACATCCCTTGAGGGGTCACAGATTGAAGAGGATGCAGGCCAGGCTGAGGAACATCCCTCCCTCCCTGCCACACAAATTTTGTGCGCCAGGGCACTAGTCTTAGTATAATTGACTAATCTGCCTATTTAAAATTCCAAGAAAACACTTCATCCACATTTTAAAAATAGTCTTAAGTTGGGTATTGATAATGACATTTATTTAAACATTGTTATACTATCATAGAGTCAGTCCATCAGATCTAATGTGAGACATAAATATATATATGTAAACTTTTATATTCATATTAGAGGCCTAATGCATGAAAATTTATGCACTGGAAGAGGGGTTCCGTCAGCCTGGCCTCACCCCACTCACAGTCCGGGAGCCCTCAGTGTCAGAAGGTGACCCATTGATCAGGGGAAGGTGATTCCCCCATCACATCTCTGCTGCTACCTCTGCCGGCAGCACAAGCCTTGACCAGCCCTGGTTACCTGAGCCTCAAGCGCCCCTGGGCAGCTGGGAGATTGAGAGAACTGGGGGACTCCGGAGGCAGGCACTCTGTGGGGACTAAGGGGACTGGGTGTCGCCATCTTTGAGGGTGTGGCAGTCAGAATATTCCTCCTTATTGGCTGGGGGCATCACCATCTTTGTGAGAGCATCATGGTCAATTAGCATATTCCCTCTTTATTAGATAGTATTTTCCTAATAGAAGTTTGATTTAAATAAGGTTCTTCTGTGAAAAAACAAAACAAAAAACACTATTTGATAAGACATTTTTTTTAAAAAAAATATGTATTTTATTGATTTTGTACAGAGAGAGAGAGAGAGTCAGAAACATCGATGAGAGAGAGTCATCGATCAGCTGCCTCTTGCACACCCCCTACTGGGGACATGCCCTCAACCAATGTACATGCATTTGACCAGAATCGAACCCGGGACCCTTCAGTCCCCAAGCCGACGCTCTATCCACTGAGCCAAACCGGTTTCGGCTGGTAAGACATTTTTCTATTCAGCAAGTTAAGATTGGTCAGTTTTAAGACTCACTTTACTTATTTCCCCTCTGAATGAACATAGTCCTGTGCCATCTCTCTAGTGTCTAAAACGATTGTTTCCTGAATTGTGTCTGGTTTTCTAGTTGTTTATAGCAGGTGAATAAATCTGGTCCTTGTTCTATCATTACTGGAAATGGAATGTGATCCTATACCTTTTTCTTACTCTGTGTGTTAAACGTGATTTTTTTTTCCTTGATAAGTTTTTTGCAAAGGGTTTATGTTGTGATGTTAGAACTAGGGTCAAGTTCCAGGCTATAGGAATATCTCCTGTAACTCAGCTTATTTTGGCCTCCCTTCTCTCCCAGTGTACATAGTAAGCAATAACTACTTTTGCTTTGCTTCCTGCACATATTGCTTATCTCTGTGATTCCTTATTTAGTCTCAGCACCTCTACTTTTGGAACTGTTGCAGATTGAGGGAGGCTCTTGCCGTTGCAGTCCAGGGATTCAGGCAGGCAGGCAGGCAGGTGTGCACCTCAGGATGTTTCTTACTTTGGAAGTGTTCACCACAGGCAGAGATCTGTAAGCAGGGTGACTATACCCTGTTTCTTCACATACCTTTCATCAATTTCCACTGATATCTATCCCTTTCATCTGTTATAGTTCAGGGCATAGAGGGTCTTCTAACTTTATCAGAGTTTGGAATTTTTTTTTTCCATGTTGCTGTTGGGTGAATTCCCAAAAGAGAACAAGAAAATGCTGAACTTATGCCACCAATAGTCTTACATATTTTTGTCTTTGTTTTTTTACACTGTGAATGTAATGTGCCAAAGTGTAGTTTTTATATATACACACGTTTTTCCCCCCTACTTTGTTTTCTTTGATCTTCCTGGACCTGTTTTGGTGTCTTGTCATTAATTTAAATCTTTATTCTGTGCCTTCTCCCTTTTTTTCAGTGTCCTATTATGTGTATGTTACACTTTTTATAATTGTCCCAGAGTTGTTGGCTATTCTTTTTTATTTCTGTTCTTCACTTGTCAATTTGGGAAGTTTCTGTTCACTGATTCTTCCTCAATTCCTGTCTGTTCTGCTGATAAGCCCATCAGAAGTTACTGGGTTGCTGATTTAGCATTTCCTCTCGAGTCTTCATTAGGGTTTATATCTCTGCTTACGTTTATCCATTTCTTCATATGTTGTCCACTGGAGCCTTAGTATATTGATCATAATTATTTTAAATTCCCACTCAGATAATGCCAAAATTTTTGCTATAGCTGGTCCTGTTGCTTTATCCCTTCGGATTGTGTTTTTCACCTTTCAGTTTTTCTAATCATTTTTGTTGATAGCTGGACATGATGTATCAAAGGAACCTTTATTGTGAGGTTTTATGTTTGGTGAAGAATTATGCTTTATTTACTATTTGCTGTAGCTATAAACATCAGGAGCTGAAATTTTCTTGTTTTTATCTCCCTTGTTGCATTTGGATTTTCCTAGAGACTCCTCCTTAGATAGTCCAAGGCAGCTCTTTCAGCTGAGGCAGTTGGTATACAGGAGATCAGATAATGGGGTGGTAAGATGGGGACGGGGGAAGGAAGCATTCTGTAATTCTGTGATTGTTATTAGTGATCCTGTGTCATAGGCTAAGACCTTCATATGGGCTTCTTCAGCTTTTATTTCCCCGTCTTGGGTGAAATAAGAAGGCTAGAGGGTGCTGAAGTTGGATATTTCCTTTTCCCTATGGGAAGACTAGAGAGGACTAGAATTGAGTGTGTCTACATGTCATTTATGCTTGGCAAAATTAGTGTCTCTTGAGGACATGCTTTTATTAATGAGAACAGAATGCTCTAAATGTATTTCAAAATGACTACTTTTTCCCTCCTCTTCACCCTGATAATCTGGTGGGGGTAAAACTCACAGAAGTTTGTTGACCCCATTAAGATTGGGACACTAAAGTTTTTTGTTGTTGTTTTAATCCTCACCCAAGGATAGTTTTCCATTTATTTTTAGTAAGAGTGGAAAAGAGAGGGAAAGACATAGAAATATTGATGTGAGAGAAACACTGATGGTTGCCTCCTGCACATACTCCACCTAGACCCAGGGGAGGGAGGAGCCTACAACTGAGGTAAATGCACTGGACTGGAATCGAACCCAGGATCCTTTGGTCTGCAGGCCAACATTTTGTCCACTGAGCAAAACTGGCTACAGCGGGACCCTACCGTTTTTTAATTGAAACTTGTCCATAGTGAGCCTCTGTCAATTTGTCCATCACAGTTAAAAATTTCTACCAGTATTGGCTCCAGCTGTGAGCTGCTCCTAGCCAGCTGTGATTTTCGGCATCCACTTTTGTGTCTTTCTAGTGTTCAGGGCACCAGTTTACCTCAAATGACATTACTTTTCTGGTGGATCTAAAAAGAGTTGTTAACTTTCAATTTTTTTATTTTCTTCTTATTCTGAGGTCTAAAGAAATAATTTTTAAGTTCTTTGCATATTGATCCAAAAATTATAAATCCCTGCTTCATACTTTTAATCTTTCCCTGTAGTTTTTAGGGCAACAGTTTCATATGGAATAGGTGTTATTTATGGATATATTTGAAAAAACAGTTTATGTCTTTCTTTGTATTCAAAACAAAACGGGATATCAACTACATAATTTTAAAAATACCATTTAGATGATACTGTTATTGTTTACTATGCCCCTCCTCACCCCCCAAAAGAAATCTGATATCACTGCTTTTACTTTTTACGCTATCATTCTGTAGCTCTCCGATTTTAAGCATCTGAGCACTTATGTAAAATGAACAGTAATTGTAAGGGCCCTTAAAAATCTTATGATAAATACTAGAGGTCCGGTGCAAGAAATTTGTGCACTGGTGGGGGGGGGGTCTCCCTCAGCCCAGCCTGTGGGATTGGACCTAAACCAACAGTTGGACATCCTCTCACAGTCTGGGAATGCTGGCTCCTAACTGCTCGCCTGCCTGCCTGCCTGCCTGCCCGCCTGCCCGCCCGCCCGCCCGCCCGCCCGCCCGCCCCTAACTGCTTCTGCCTGCCAGCCTGATTACCCCCCAGCTGCTCCCCTGCCAGCCTGATTAATGCCTAACTACTCCCCTGCTGACCCAATCACCCCCAACTGCCCTCTCCTACAAGCCTGGTTGCCCCCAACTGCCCTCTCCTGCAAGCCTGGTTCCTCCCCCCCCCCCCAACTGCCTTCCCCTGCCAGCCTGATGGCCCCAACTGCCCTCTGCCAGCCAATTTGGTTCTGATTGGTTGGTTTCAATGCCAGTCAGTGTCTCTGGGCCTATCAATGGGGCCTGATCAAAAGGTGGGGCTGGTCACCAGCCCCTGTGGAGGCCTGGAGAGAAATGGAAGCGTGGCTGCTGGCCAGACCTGGGGAGAAAGAGGCTAGTGCTGATCAACAGGTGCCTCAGAGGCTATGGATCAGACCCTGCTTCTCTCTTCAGGCCTCTCTCCAAGCCTGATTGGCAGCCCCCTCAGCAGTCAGTGCTGGGTCGCCACGGCAACCCATTGCTGACTTTAGGACTGTCTTCTAATTGGTCAAGCCTACAATAGTGATGGACCTAGGGTTTTTATATATTGGGACTAGAGGCCCAGTGCACGAAATTCGTGCATAGAGGGGGGCTGTCCCTCAGCCCAGCCCGCACCCTCCAATCTGGGACCCCTCGAGAGATGTCCGACTGCCCAGTAGGATCAGGCCTAAACAGGCAGTCAGACATCCCTCTCACAATCTGGGACTGCTGGCTCCCAACTGCTCACCTGCCTCCCTTCCTGATTTCCCCTAACCACTTCTGTCTGCCAGCCTGATCACCCCTAACCACTGCCAGCCTGATTGATGATACCTAGCTGCCCTCCCCTGCAGGCCTGGTCACCCCTAACTGCCCTCCCCTGCAGGCCTGGTCCCCCCCTCTGACCCCTCCCCCAACTAACCTCCCCTGTAGGCCTGGGTCCATCCCTCCCGCTCGGTCGCCCCCAACTTCCCTCCTCTGCTGGTCTTGGTCACCCCTAACTGCCCTTCCCTGCTTGCCTGGGTCCTCTCCCCCCCAACTGCCCTCCCTTGCAGGCTATCTTGTGGCAGTTATCTTCTGTCCACATGAGGACAGCCATCTTTGACCACATGGGGCCCAGCCATCTTGTGTGTTGGAGTGATGGTCAATTTGCATATTACTCTTTTATTAGATAGAGGCCTGTTGCATGAGTGGGGGCCGGCTGGTTTGCCCTGAAGGGTGTCCTGGATCAGGGTGGGGGTTCCCTTGGGGCATGGGGCAGCCTGGATGAGGGGCCTGTGGTGGTTTACAGGCCGGCCACGCCCCTCGGTGACCCAAGTTGAGTCCCTGGTATCTAGGATTTATCTCCTATAATTGAAACTTTGTAGCCTTGAGTAGAGGCCAGGGCCAGCCAGGGTGGGCGGGAAGCTTGGCTTCCTCCATTGCCGGAGAAACCTAAGCCTCCTGCTAGCTCCATGGCTGCAGCCATCTTGGTTGGATTAATTTGCATACTCACTTCTGATTGGCTTGTGGGCGTAGTGGAGGTACAATCAGTTTGCAGGTTTCTCTTTTATTAGTGTAGATAAGGTCTTACATAAATCTAAGAAATGTATACAGAATTCTTCCATCTTTAAGAAACTTAATATTTTAAATAGTTCCATTTATAGTAGGTATTTTCTTTAAAGACTTCTTTCTATAACTATTTTACTTTTGATGGATGTTAACTAGTTTATTCTGATGATTTTTTTATACAAATAGTGAATCATGTTGTACACCTGAAACTAATATATTATTTGTCAATTATACCTCATTAAAAAATATAAAGAGTTGTTTCTCTAAATAACTTTAATTTTTTATCAAAAGGCATGGATTTGGGAAGAAGACAAGAATCTGCTATCTGGCGTGAGGAAATATGGAGAGGGAAACTGGACTAAAATATTATTACACTATAAATTCAACAATCGAACAAGTGTTATGTTAAAAGATAGATGGAGGACTATGAAGAAGCTAAAACTGATTTGCTCAGACAGTGATGACTGAATGTGTAAAAGCTTGATGATGAAAGGACAGTTACATATTTTGATCATCACCTTTTGTTTGAAACTTGGTGGTCATTGATCTATGTTAACATTTTTGTTTAAAGCATTTAGTATTTTTCTTTAAGATCCTTTTTACTTGGATAAAATGTAAATTTGTCAAACCTTGATGCTCTCATTACCTCACCCCCAAATCTAGTACTAGTAAAAAAGATGAAAACCTACTGAGAGAAAAAAATGTATTTCTGTTAACCTGTTCTGGGTTTGTATGCTGACTTCAAGTGCAGAACATATAAATGAAGGTGAAGTTTCTAAATCGGTGAATAATAATGGTCTTTTCACATAAGAGGTATTGACTTGATTTATGGCCTTGATACAGTAACTACTAAGACATTTGCTTATAGAATGATACAAAGTAGTCTGGGTTTTAGCATACTTAAATTTTCCTTTCAGTAGTTTTCTATAAAAGAAAAATCTTAAATAGTAATACCATAGGACAAAATTTGTACTATTACCAAGATTTGCTTCATGTCTCATTTAGGAATATTTGACTTTTGTTTCAATGTTAAAACTTTAACAAAAATGGTTTTAAGTAAAGCTTATTTATAACCTGGTGTCATAAATACTTTCTCTGATATTTTTGTTTAATATATCAACATGTGCCTAAATAATGTTCTGTAAATGCTTGCATTGATGTTAACCATGATCATTTTCACATGTATGATTAATACTAAACAAGGTCACACATACTTTACTAGACAGTTTCGAGTTTTCACCAACATTTAATTCTTTAGAGAATTTAGCTATTTAGCATTTGAGTTACATGTGCTTTATTTAACAAGTGAGTGAAAATAATGAACTATTTGCATAAAAAGTTAAATGATAGTATTTTGTAACCTGTATTTCATTTCTTACTGCATTATACATGACTTTCCCGTTGTACCTGAATTTGTTACTCTACACAGAGTGAACAGAAATGTGGGTGATTATTCTGTGCTTCTTGGCTTGGTCTGTTTTGTTAGACTGGATACTGTCACTGTGTTTCTTGCAGACATTTTGATGGTAAGTGCCAAAGCAGGCAGCATGAACCAGCGTGGACCTGTAAGTCAACTTCCTTGTTTCAAACATGCAGTAAATAAATCTAAGTTGCTAAGTAATCTTTTTAAAAAGATTACTATCAATTATACTATAGTGTGGTGCTTGCTTATTTAAAATTTTATTTTACTTATTAAAAGCTAGGTTAGATTTATTATAATTAAAACATTTTTATCATATAACTTTTGGAAACATAAAAAGAGAGCAAAATAAATGATAATGTATTTTTAAATTTTGTCATCTTAAATCTGATTTTTTTAAATTAAAATTTTTGTTGAGATTATTGTAGATTCACATGCAGTTGTAAGAAATAATACAGAGAGGTCTCCTGTATATTTGCTCCAGGTTCCCCCAATATTTTTTTCTATACCATTTTTGTTGAAAATATCCCAATATAAATTTTTCTAAAACTAGAGTATATTACTCGGTGTAGCTTGACAGGGCAGCTCGGACCCTGTGCTCAGAATTGTGGTAGCGTCTTTTAACCAGTTCGGGGTTTTATTCAGAGATTTGTCTTTGTTTTGCCCTCTTCTGAATTCTCAGCCTTAAAAACATTACCTACAGCTGCCTGGGGCTAGGGACAGAGAGGAGGCAGGCAGCAGACAGGCTGGAAATCCTGAGAGGAAGATTCATGGGTTGAGGGCCTTGAAGGACGAGTGGACTAGAGAATTTAGGCCATGCCCTTGCCCAGAACTGGACAGTCTCAGAAAACACCTGAGAGGTTTCCTGGCCTCCACCAGTGAAGTAGCGTTGGGCTTCTCATGTGCTGGAGGTGAAGGCTACAGCACAGACGGTAAGTAGCCGGGCTAAGACCCCACCGTGGAGCCATTCTGCAAAGGCAGAATGATTTGAGGCATTTAAGGAAATTAAATTAATTATTCTATGTATTCTTTGCTATTTTTTCTTTCATCCAACATATTTATTTATATGTAGCTGTAGCTTGTTCATTTTCATTTCTGTATAGTAATACATCCTATGATTATATCATAGTTATTTACCTATTATGCTTTTGAGCATTTGAGTTGTGGGAATAAATAAAGACCACTCAAAAATGAGAGCAAACAGGCTGTTTACTCAGCTTTTTTTCTTTTAATTGAATTTATTGGGGTGTATAATTCTATACATCATCTGTATATTATAATGTGTGTTCAACACTCCAAGTCAAGTCTTGCATCACCATCTATCCCCCCTTTACTCTTTTCTACCTCCCCAGCACCCCTTTTCCTCTGGTAATCACCATACTGTTGTCTGTCTAGTTTTGGGTTTCGGGTTTGCTTTTTTTCTGTTGTTTTTTTTTTGGGGGGGGGGGGTTGTTTGTTTGTTTTTTTCTTAATCCCTTCACCTTTTTACTTGACTCCCCAACCTGACTTCCCTCTGACAGCTGTCAGTCTGTTCTCTGTTCCTATGAGTATGTTTCTATTTTGTTAGTTTATTTTGTTCATTAGATTCCACATAAGTGAAATTATATGGTACTTGTCTCTCTCTGACTGGCTTATTTCATTCAGCATAATGCTCTCCAGGTCCATTCATGCTATCACAAAAGGTAAGATTTCCTTTTTTACAGCCCAATAGTATTCCATTGTGCAAATGTATCACATAGTACTCAGAGCTTCCTATAACAAGGGAGTCGGTCACCATCACTTGTGTTTGGCAGAGACTTGAGCAGGCCAAGTTTTATAGTGGGAAAGCTTCAGAGGGAAAGGAGAGAGCAGGCTGTCCTGACTAGAGGTCATTGGCATGAGAAAGCTGGGAGCTGGCCAGCCAGCAGTGGCATCTTGTGTAATTGTTCGGAGAACACACTTGGCTTTCTCTGATTGGTTCTGAGTTGGTAGTGGGGACAAAGAATAAGGATGTTGGCAGCCATTGACAAAGTCCTGTCGATGGATTGCAGTACAGGTTGCTTTGGCATCCTCAGCTAGTTGCTGCAGAGTTTGTGGGTCAGTTTGTTGTCATACGAAGGTCTGACTAGTGTCTGTTTATATTCAGTCTCTCAGAGTTGTTTTTCAGTTATTCCTGTGATGACTTTCTGATTTACATGCAGTGTGATATTAAGAGTATTAACTCTTAAACTAAAAAGTTAGCTATGATGAAACCCCAGAACAACCATTTAAAAGAATATAGATATATACCCAATTGATAAATTAAAATGGAATATTAAAAATTATTCAAATAACATGAAAGACAAAGGCGGGGGGGGGGGCAAAAACAAAATCACAATCACAGGAAAAAAAGTACACCCAATTCTAACCACATCAATAGTTACATTGGACAGTGTTGCTTAGTTGGTTGAGCGCCATCCCATGCACCAAGAGGTCGCCCGTTCTATTCCCAGTCAGGGCACATGCCAGGGTTGTGGACTTGAACCCCAGTAGGGCGCATGTAGGATGCAGTCGATTGATGTTTCTCCCTCACTCTCTTGAGTCAATAAAGACATTTTTTTTAAATAGTTACATTAAATGTTAATGGTGTAAGCCAGAGAGTGGGCAAACTTCCTGAAAGGGGCCAGATACAATATTTTAGGCTTTGTGGTTTCTTCTGTCAGCTCTGCTTGGCATTAGCCATAGACATAAATATGTGAGTGAGTGGGCGTGACTGTGTTCCCTAAAACTGTATTTACAAAAATAGCCAGCAAGATTTAGCCTAAAGTTTGCTGACTCTTGCCTTTGATCCCTAGTCCTTAAATTTATTTGCTCTCAGGGTAGCGGTTTTTTAAAAATCACCTTATTTGGTGCTCAGTGGGACTTTCCTTCCCAGGAAGAATGGCTCTCACCTCTGATTCCATTTTCTTGTCTACATATTCTAAAGGGTTTAGTCCCTCAATTCTGGCTTATTCATCAGTGGAATCCTGTTTGTTTCCAGTCTTCAAAATCTGGGCTGATTTTCGCACCACCTTCCTCCTCATCTATGTTATGAACCCTCTTTTGTAAGTCTTGTAATGTCAGTGGGACTTGGGGGAGGAGAGGGTAAGTGAGTATGTCCAGCTGTCACCTTGACCTAGCAGTTTCATTTCTGTATCAATATGCTCTTCATATTGAATATTCTCAGCATTGCTTTACACTCAGAATGGTCAGGTCTTTGCCTTCTAAATCAACTTGCAGTACTGTATGAACCATCACTAGAATATCTTCAGAGGGCAGAATCAGGTTTATTTTGCATTGTTTGCACATATCTAGACAAGATGGCTGATAAAAATTTGCATGCCAGAATAGAACTAAACAATTTATTTCTTGGGTTACAGACTCGATCCCCAGTGGGTGGCATGCATGAGAAAGCCAATCAATGATTCTCTCTCATCACTGATCTTTTTTCTCTCCCTCTCTGAAATTAAAAAAAAAAAAAAAATTAATGCTAGATTTTGCCAAATGCTTTTTCTATGTCGATATGGTCATGTGATTTTTGTCTTTTAATTTGTTTATGTGATGTATCACGTTTACTGATTTGTGAATATTGTACCAGCCTTGCATCTCTGGAATAAATCCCCCTAGGTCATGATGTATGATATTTTTAATACATTGCTGGCTCCTATTTACTAATATTTTGTTGAAGATTTTAGCATCTATGATCATCAGGGATATTGGCTTGTAGTTATCTTTCTTTGTAGTGTCTTTATCTGGTTTTGGAATTAGGATAATGCTGGCCTCATAAAAAGAGCTTCGAAATGTTCCTTCCTCTTGGACTTTTTAGAATAATTTGAGGATAGGTGTTAGTTGTTTTTGAAGCTCCCCTATGAAGCATTCGGACCAGGGCTTTTGTTTGCTGGGAGTTTTTTTATTACTACTTCTATTTCATCAGTTATTATTGGCCTATTCAGGTTTTCTGGTTCTTCCTGATTCAGTTTTGGGAGATTGTATTTTTTTTTAAGAATTTGTTTATTTCATCCATGTTGTCCAGCTTGTTGGCGTAAGTTTTTCATAGTAATTTTTTCACAGTTCTTTGTATTTATGTGGTGTCGGTTATTATTTCACCGCTTTCGTTTGATTTGATTTGGGTCCTCTCTGTTTCTTGATGAGTCTAACATTTTTCTTTTAAATGATCCAGAGTTCTTTTCCCCTTCCTGAGTGTGGGTGTGTTTAGTTTTGTTCAAATTACTTTCCACCTGCACTTTTGAAAATCAGCCCATTAATATTAAGTAGCTCTAGGGACAATAAACCATTGCAGAGTTCCTGTGGACAGGCCCCTAACTCTAAAGTACTCATTAAGACCTCTTTGGTATCCTCCTTTAACTTTGAAAATAAAAATTTTGCTTCTTCATTAATCACTTGGACTACATATTTCAGTTCTGACTTTATTTCTTAGGCTTTGCAAGAATTAATAAAAGCATTTCAAACTATTATTAGAAGTTAAGTCTAGAAGTAAATCTAGCTAATGAAATTTTTCTCAGGAATAGAAATTACAAAAATATACAAGATGGAAGTAATTAATGGCTATGCATTAAAAACTAAATGTATAAAGTAAAAAAACTAAATGTATAAAGTAAAAAATTTGATTTAATGCAATTCAAATATGCTAAATGTTATGACATATTAAATCTTAAATCCATCATAACTTTATTGCTGTTATCATACTGTCAATTCCAAAGGTGGTTTTGGTGAACTTTTGTTCATTCTCTAACCAGCCCAGAAAATTTGGGTATTTTTTAATCAAACAAGTAAAGACCATTTTAAAATGTGAACAGAAAGTTTATTTACTGGTATAAAAATTTTAAGTAACATTGAAAACTACCCAGATATATTTTCAAAAACCTTGCTTGACAAATGTTAGAAATGATCATAAAATGTTAATACTGAACTTACAGTTGAACTCTTAACCCTTGATGAGACGAAAATTTGTTAATTTCTGAAGAATTTACCACAAAAATCAGACAGACAGTTGACAGTTAAGTGAATATTTAGTCAAGAAATTGAATAATCTCAGTATTAAACATTTTCCATCTCTATTAAGCTTGCTATTGTCATTTACATGGTAAGTATAGAGAAATATAAATATATAAATCATTTGCTAGTGTAAAATATTTTATACAAATGAATTTCATACAATTTAAATCTTGAGATTCAATTTTCCAAAGAAAATATCCTGCATTTAAGATTTGTTAAAAAAAAAAAAAAAAAAGGAAAGGGCTGCGCTTTTACAGCACCGTCTTTGGCATAGTCCGGCTTCCCATCGAAGCCCACTTCTGTATGAGAAGCATGATTTGGCTCCGTGGCTGACTTGCAGAATCACTTGGCATCCCAGATGCTTAAGCAGTTTTGTCTCACTGATTTTCCAATTATAAAATAAGACTAGTACTCTGTCACTGTGTTTGTTACTTGTGAGGTCAAAGATCTATAATAAAATCCCAGCCTTCAATAATCTATTCCTGTCTTCCACTCCAAACATAAGAAAATGAATATTATATGCTGCAGAAAACAAGTAGTGAGTTCACAACTAAATTTGAAAGATGATTTTGGTCAGTTTCAGGCTTTAGCAATAATCTAAAGATGGTAGAATTTTCATAATTGTTTATCATTGGTGCCAAAGTTTCTCATTAAAAGTATATTTAAAGGAACTCATTGCTCTTTGAAGAACTATTCTTTAGTTAATTGAAAAGTAAGTATTTTTTTGCAGAGCTATTGGATTATTACAGAATGTTTACTATATCTTAAATAACTTGTCCTATGGAAAATTATTTGTGAGATTTTTGCTTGAAATTAGTCATTTCAGAGTTTGTGGAAATAACATAAGAAATGTGAGTGTACCTATATCTATACATTTTTGAAGACTGAATATTGCATTTTTTCTCTCCTTTCTGTAAAGCTTGGATACCCTTATATGACAACTTACCAACAAATGGACTATGTTGTAGTAATTCTAGTGCAAACAGATGTATTTTGTGTTGCATGGACCACCTGTAGGATGAGAAGACTATGTGGGAGGTCAAGGACACAAAACCACAGGAGACTTCGGGGTGAGTCCTCAACTGAGCGCCATGTTTCTTGAAAATTAGCACCTAAATTGTCTTTCTCCTTCAGAGTATGGCAATGACGTGTCTCAGGAACTCGGCCACACAATTTTTCAAGGTATATGAAGCATTAAACATGACTTGATAGTATTTAGCCTGTTTACAAACAGACTTTGAGATTTACCTCACGGTCTATATAAATATAAAACTATGCACAGCAGGACAAGAACACTGGTCTACTCGCCGGACTTTTTTCCAAGTTCCTTGACATCGAGGGTTGCCAATTGCTTGCCAGTGGAGAATCTGATTTCTGAAACAATATTGTGAAATGTTATTTACACCTAAAGCAAACTAAAAATTCTAATCATCATACCTGGAGTTTTTAAATACATTGTAAATTGAAATTTTTTGAAATGATTGCAAACTGAGTTTCCTTTTGGGTTCTATTGAAATTTGAGGTCACTGTATTTGTTACTTGACTTGAGTATATAAAGTGCCACATAATGGAAAGGCTTCCTGTGTCCTGTATATTTAGAGAGGTCTGAACCAAATAATCTCTTATAATCCTTTCCAACTCTTTGATTCCATAATGGAAAAAAAAAGAGTAAAGCCAGATTATTATATTTATCACTGGAACCTCAGCCAGGGTTTAAGGTACTTTATGGATACAAATTAAATTATAAATTCATTTCAAGTCAAAATATGGATGAGGTATTCAGAAAAAGTAATAAGTCTAAGTATTAAGTTTCTCTTTCATATGAATTCCTTACCCACTTTATTGTTCATATGGTATACTCAACACAGAGGCTGTTAGGCACAAGTGACTAATAAAAGAAAATTCAAGTTATTAAGCCTTTAGAAAGGTCCATATTTTACTTTCTAATCTGTACTTTTACCAATTCCATCTGACAAAAACTGTGATCCGTGCCCAGCACGAAGTCTACCTTTCTCTTGGTTACAAATAGCATTATTAGTTTTAACTGATAAATGAGTTATGGGTCAATTCTTTAGGACAATCTGTAGATTTCTGTAGGTTTATGACCCTGAAAAGCTGAGACTACCATTCCTATCTCAACCATGATCTCATGACTACACTAAGCAATGGTTCTGAACCAGCTGCAGGAATGAACCATCTGGGCAAGGATCAGCGATCTGCAATCCATGGGCCAAATCCAGTCCACCCCACACTTTTCTGTAGACATTTTTGAAAGAGTTGATAAAAATCAAAATAGGAATTCAAATTTTAGTGCCCACTAACACTGTAATATTAGAACAAAGCTAGGCTCATCAGTTTACATAGTATGTCTGGCTGCTTTTATGCTATGGTGCAGAGTTGAGTACTTGTGATAGAGACTATGTGGCCCAAAAATATCTGTTGTGCCTACAGAAAATACTCGCTGATCCCCGACCTATGAGATTGTTAAAAATCCACCCCTAGCCGAAACTGGTTTGGCTCAGTGGATAGAGCGTCGGTCTGCGGACTGAAAGGTCCCAGGTTCGATTCCGGTCAGGGGCATGTACATTGGTTGTGGGCACATCCCCAGTAGGGGGTGTGCAAGAGGCAGCTGGTCGACGTTTCTAGCTCTCTATCCCTCTTTCCTCCTCTCTGTGAAAAAATCAATAAAAAATATATATATATATATATATGTGTGTATATATATATATATATTTTAAATCCACCCCTAAAGGTGCAGATTCAGGTGGGACTCAGAAATCTACATATTTTAAGTTACCTAAATGACTCATTTAGGGTGGTCTTTGGTAGTCACTTAGGAACTGTGCCCCAGAATCTGAATTCACCCCTGAAGTCCCACAGTGTGAACTGGACTCTCGAATGGCCAGGAGGAGAGTCTTCACACTCCCTGTGTTAACTCCAACTCACGCCTCATGTGCTCTGTACCGGTCATGTGTTGAGGACACACAGAGGACAGATCTCTGCGAATGAGTAACAGGACAAGTCCTTCAACCCCTTTCCGTCACTTACCCGTCGGAGTCCAGGCCGTCTCCGGAACAGCGGAGGCTTGCAGAATTCATGGCTGGAGGCTGACAGTTGACACACACCGTGAACCCCTCTCGCAGGTACTGCATCCATCGCGTCAGAGGGCGGTTTTCCCTGGCGCAGTGGTGAGTCAGTGACTCAGTCTTGAACTCCATGCAGTACCTAGAGCAGAAGCAGGAACCATTTCACTCGCGCTAGAAGTGGCTGAGCCCTCTTGACAGCCTCAGGAAGCCTGTCGTCCCCAAGGACACCTGACCGCCTGGAGCAGGCAGAGCTGCACAGGTCCCACCCTGGTCCCAGTGCCAGTTCTCATTCGCTGGACGGTGACAACTGCCTTGAACTGAGGCTCTTCATCCATGACTGGATTACCTGGCCACCATGGATCTGCAGAAACCCGGATATTCTGTATCCTGTCTGGCCTGACCACTAAACTATAATATATATAAAAGCATATTTTAGTGAGAAAATCGCCCTTGATAAGTTTGCTGACATTTTAAGGAATTCTATCAATTGAACAAGAACTTGCTTGAGCCTGAGAACATGTGAGTCCCAGGAAGGCTTGTCCTTGATGCCCATGCAAGCACTAGTTCCCCAGGACCCTCCCTGCACTCCACCCAGCTCACCTGCACAGTCTGGGGTAATGACTAGAGTTTTGACTTGAAGTCAAACATTAAAGTTATACTGGACATCACAGGTAAAAGGAAATGGGAAGTCATGTCTGTGACAGAGGCTAGTGTCACCTGACATCACACTTGGAAAACTGGAACTCACTATGACTAGAATGAGGGCACCAGACATGGGTGAATGTTTCAGAGTCTTATTCTCAAAAGCAACACAATTTTATAATTCTTTGGGGAAAATAAAGCAGAGTAAAAACCATGAATGTTGCATTTTAGGTTCTGTGCTAAAATGGGCTAGAATTATGAGTTGTAATTGGTTAGATGGAAAGTGAGGTGGAGTGTCGGCTTCAGAGATCTCTAGCCTGGCAGGCGTGGCTCAGTGTTTGAACAACCCATGAACCGGGAGGTCACAGTTTGATTCCCGGTCTGGACACATGCCTGGGTTTTGGGCTCGATCCCCAATGAGGGACATGCAGGAGGCAGTCAGTCAATGATTCTCTTGTCTTTTCCTCTCCCTTCCTCTCTCTGAAATCAATAGAACTGGGTGTGTATTTAAAAGATAATATAGCCAAAACCAGTTTGTCTCAGTAGATAGAGCGTCAGCCTGCGGACTGAAGGGTCCCGGGTTTGGTTGCGGGCACATCCCCAGTAGGGGGTGTGCAAGAGGCAGCTGATCGATGACTCTCGATGCTTCTATCTCTCTCCCTGCCTCTCTGTAAAAAAATTAATATTAAAAAAAAAAGAGAGAGATAATCTAACAACAGCAGGTGTGATTCATTTAGACGTCTTAAAGTACTGAGGTAGAAAAGTATTGTGCAGCTCCCATCAACTCCAGACAGCTCACCCCGCCACCTCTTCAGTGATGTTTGCTAATTTAGTTCTCATAAGAACCCCACATGGCAGGTATTGACAGCCTCGTCTTTCAAGAAAAGGCTGGGAGCCGGGACCCGTTTGGCTCAATGGATAGAGCATCGGCTTGGGGACTGAAGGGTCCCAGGTTCGATTCCGGTCAAGGGCATGTACCTTGGCTGCGGGCATATCCCCAGTAGGGGTTGTGCAAGAGGCGGCTGATCGATGACTCTCTCATCGATGTTTCTAACTCTGTATCTCTCTCCCTTCCTCTCTGTAAAAAATCAATAAAATATATTTTTTAAAAAAAAGAAAGAAAAGGCTGGGGAGGCCGGCGAGCAGCAGTGGGGATTTGAACGTGCAGCCACCTGGTGTCCTACTCCGACAGCAGGAGAGTGGTCCCTCCCAGCCTGGGCCATGAGTCCCTAGAAACCCTCAGAGCTCAGGCCTGGACCAGTTTCAAGTTCCCCAAAGAGGAGGTGCTGGAGTCCATGGTCCCAGAGAGACTGACAGTGTTATCACCCCATTTTTATATAGCGTGTTTCTGGGGAGTCAGACCTCAGAGAGAGATGCAGCTTTAAAGTCCAACAAAAACGGAGGGGACCAGTGCTTTCCAACTCCGAGGTCAAGTCCTCCTTGCCCAAAGGCACTGAACAAGTAACGGGAAACGCTAGCACATCACGTTGATTTGGGGGCTGACGACCATACAAGTGAAAAGACGAGTTCAAAGAAAAGCACATTACCCGGCTTCCTGTGTGTGTGCAGACCACTGCGGGGAGGCCACTTGTCTTGTTCTCTCCTTGTTGAAGGCAGAGGTAGTTATGAAGGCAGGGGCTGGAAAACAGGGTGACGGTGAACACCTGAGGCTGCAGTACTCAGACTAGCGCTTCCCAAACCTGGCCACAGCCCTCGTTTCTCAAGCCGAAGGCCTGTGGCGCAGCATCGGGGTGGTCAGTGTCCCCAGACCCATTCGGCAAACACTGGTGGGCACGGGTGAGTGGGGAGGGGCTGCAGATAGGATAAGCAGGCTTGTCTGCAGAACAACACTGAGAGGGAAGGGCCAGTAGGAACAGCCTGGAGGAAATTAAAGGACAAGGAAAAAGTGAGGGAATATTTTTACAGATGAAATATAGAGGAGAGATGGGGAAGAGAAGAAGAACAAAGTGAAAGAATGAAGGGTGAGGGAGAGAAAGAAGACAGAGTGAAAAGGGATGGAAGGGAATAAGGACAACCAGAAAGAGGAAATGAGAAAAGCGGGGAGGGGACAGAAGCAGCAAAGGAAGTGTGAGTGCTTCCCACATCTGGCAACCGCAGCCCGGAAGCTTTGCTGCCAACCACATAGCCCAGGAGTGACTGCCAGGTGCCAGCCAGTGCAGCCTTCTCCCTGTGCCCACCTGAGGGAGGAAAGTTCCAACCAGTCCCCTCCCCACTCCCCTCACCCTACCCCAACCCTGATGCTCTGGGTGAGAGAAGAGAAGATGAGCCAGAAGTTCTTCCATCTCTGTTCTTTCTGTGATGTTTGCTTATTTGTATGTCTCCTCCCTATTCCATCTCTAAGCCCAGGGAGGCACCTGCCACTCCAGGAAGCACCTGCAGGTAACCTTCAATTCCACTCTTCTCTCAACTCAAGGAAAACTCTGGCCCTTAAACGCCTGATTAGTGTGTGTGCAAGGGGCCGGTGAGAGAATGAAGTCACCAAATTGCCACTAAGGAGTCCGCCTTCCCCAGGGTTTTCTGTTGTACTGAGGCTGGTAGCTAAAATGCCCAACAGTCCTGCCTCCCTTTCATTTCAGAAACAGGACCAACCCAGGAAGAGTAGACACCGGCTAATGTTGGCTTCTGGGTACCAACATCATCATCCACATGAGCAAAACCGCGGGAGAGTACCAGGGGCAAAATTGACCCTTCAAGCGCACATGTTCATTTTACCGGCGCCTTACGGCCACAAGGTGGCAGCCCTGTTCCGTTTTAGGTTTTCTCAGTGTCACTTAAGTTACTGGGGAATGTGAGACAAGAGGGGCCACGCCTGGCAGCCACTTGCCCCCAGGAGCTGTAGGCATTGCTCCTGCCTCCTGTGGTTGGTGCTTCATCTCCGGCAGAAAGGCCCCTGCGTCTTGCACAAGCCCCGAGCCCCAGCTACGTCGTCGTGGCGCTGCGTGGTGCTGTTTGCTGCACTAACACCCAGTTTTTTTCCAAAGAGAACGCAAAACGTGTTCTAAATGTGACTGTAGCTTTTAAACTTCAAAATCCACAGACAAAAAGAACAAGTGAATGCACGTAGGTCAGGATCCCTCTCTGTTTCTCTTAGACCTAATTCTCAAAACACAGACATCTGAAGGGTTTTCGTTTTCCCACAGTCTGTTTTCATGCCTGTTCTTCTGATGAATGTGTCTGTTTATTTGCTAAGTGAAGGACGCGTAGCTTTCTACCAAGCAAAACTGTAACAGTTCCAGGGTGTGTTTCTTTACTCAGACATCTACTTGATCTAATTTGCACAGCATACATCACCACAAAAGGCCAAAGGCACAAGCACTAATGCGTAGCTCAGGATCAGGGAGGATAGGACTCCAGTTTCTGATATAAAACCCCAAGAACAGTTTTAACATGATAAAAATAAAGCTGACAAGGACACTGCTGAGTTTCTGGGCATAACTTGAGGCACTTTTCCTGGTTAGCTCATTGGAGTCTCGGTGCCCTCAGATAGATCCCAGTCGTTCCCCATTTCACAGATGGAATCGTGGTGCAGAGAAAGTAAGAAATGTGTTCAAGCCGAAACCGGTTTGGCTCAATGGATAGAGCATCGGCCCGGGGACTGAAAGGTCCCGGGTTCGATTCCGGTCAAGGGCATGTACCTTGGTTGCAGGCACATCCCCAGTAGGGGGTGTGCAGGAGGCAGCTGATCGATGACTCTCTCATCAATGTTTCTAACTCTCTCTCCCTTCCTCCCTGTACAAAATCAATAAAATATATTTTTTTAAAAATGTGTTCGAGGCCCATGTTTAGACAGGGCGGTGCCAGGCCCTGATTCCAAACCACATCTGCATGGTCTCCATTACAATGCAGATCACAAGTTTCACTATCTTCTAAAGCCTATTTCCCATGAAATGTTTACCTTCTGCTTTATTTTCGCTTTCTGTCCCTGATCACTGTCTGTACTGAGAGGAAAAGGAAAGGGGGAAATGTTAGCCCTTACACTCAGTCCCCTTGGGCCAGGGAGCGGTGGGCGTGTGGCCCAGGAGCTGGGGTGGCTCATGGTGGGCACCCGTTGGATGTCTGTCATGGGAAGGCATCTTGGATGTCCGTATCCTCCGTGTTTGGGAAGAGCTCTCACGTTTAGTGTCATGTCACCCATCTTCCCAAAGGCTTTGTAAAGAGCTGTTCTAGGGGGTTTTCTCATCACAGAACTGAGGCTGCCCTGGCCGGGGTGGCTCAGTTGCTGGGCATCATCCCATGCACCCACCGAGAGGTTACCAGTTCGATTCCCGGTCAGGGCACATGCCCAAGCTGGGTTCTTGGTCTCCAGTAGGGAGCATGCGGGGGAGGCAGCTGGCATGTTCCTCTTTTTCCTCTCCCTCTTGCTCTAAAAATCAAATAAACATTTTAAAAAATTAAAAGATGGGGCTCACAGAAGTTAAAGGGAAAATAAATACTAAGTGTCTGAGCAAGGGCCCCAGCACAGAAGGCGGCTTCTGGTTTTGTAAGACCCACTGCAGTGCCAAGGCCCTGGATAGGACCCAGGATAAACGCTGGCCGGTAATCCTGGCTGCTGGACCCTGTGTCCTGTGTCCCACCCCCTCGGCCCACCTGACAGGGTGCCTGCCCTGCCAGGAGTCCTCAGGAAGCAGACCAGGAGCCAGGGCACCTGCAGGGCTCTGACCCAGCACCACTATCCACCCCACAAACCTAATCGTCATGACTGAAGAGCGGTGAGTGAGTTAGGAGTTATTTTGGCCTCCGGTCCCACTTCTGCTTACGCGTGGAAGTCGTTGCTGGGTGCCCAGAACAAAGGCTCACGGCGAGGTCCTCCTCCTCTGGCCTTCCTGGCAACAACACTCGGACCTAATAGGTTCTTTGTGGCCGGGCTCTTTGGCCAGCGTCCCTGGCATCCCACCAGCCCACCATTGTCCGCTTTCACAGCAACTTCCACTTCAAATAGTGTGGCCCGCACATACCCCCTTTGAACATGGAAAGTAAATTAAATCTGCTCTGAGAATTTCATAAAGCCCTCGAACACAGTAGGGTATCGTGGCAGCAGGCTCGGGACCCCTGGTCTATAGATTTCGGGTAAAAACAGAACAGAAAGGAAACCTGGCCGACGACACCGGCCCGGAAGCACAGTTGACAGGCACATTCGCCTCCCTGCAGGAGGAGAACACACAGAGCTGTCGTGCGCAACGGATGCCATCTTGTGGCTTTTGGGCTGCTTTTTATGATAAACATAAGAGTCAAAATATGCGCTGAATCCAACGGGAAAAATGCAATAGCTACTTGATCATAAGAGCATGTCAGCGATTACGTATTCACTGGCCTCACAGGGCCTTTATATTTCTACTTGGTGCTAACCAGAATCTGTAGTTGCAATTTTAACTCTAAGAGAATAGTCAACAGCAGAACAATACCTACCAAGTGCAGGGGCTGGGGGAGCACAGGATTTAGAGCCATGAGACAGACCCAGGTTTGAATTCTGGTGGCCCTTCGCCAGTGCTGTCACCTCTCTGAGCTCCCACGTCCTGTGCAAACCAAGGATAATGCCAGGCCGGAGCGTGGCCTTCCAAAAGATGTCCCCGTCCCGGTCCCCAGCACCTGTGCATACAGCAGGCTCCGCACAGTGAGGAATCGGGTGCTAGTCAGTCCATCCTAAATAGGGAGGTTATCCTGAATGGCCCAGGGAGGTGGACCCGTGTAATCACAGGGGACCTTACAAGTGGAAGAGTCAGAGTCCTAGGAGGATGACGCAAGAGGAGGATGCAGAGAGGTGAGGCGTTGCTGTGGAGACGGGAGGAGGGCCGTGGGGAGAGGAACATGGATGACGGAAAGGCACGCCTTGTGAGGCCCCGTCTGGCTTCTGACGTCAGTAACCAAAGATGATACATTTCAGCTGCTGGTCACTAAGTCTGTGGCGCTTTTGTCTTTGATTTTCTGGGGCATTGACAACGGTGATCCAACCACGCCTGGGGGGTTTCTCTAAAGTCTCCTCAGAGGGCCCTGCCATTCGGTGAGGCTGAGAAGTTCCCAGTTCACCACATCCTGTTCCCAGTGGGGTTCTCCTCTCTCTCTTTATCTCTATCTCTTTCTATCTCTATCTCTGCAAGAAGAACCCAGCCCCACCTTCTCCATTCTGCTTGCAGATCCCCTCAGCTAAGTATCCAAGTTCATCGCTTACAAGCTGTGCTTCCACATAACTGCAGGCCACAGTCCCACTGAGCTTCTGCCCCTGATGGCAGAGGCCCCTTTCCACCAAGAAACAATCCCTTCACCCCCACTCTCCCCACACCCCCAGCCTCAGAAAGCAGCCCAGCGAGCCTGGCTGGACCGTTGCCGCCCTGCAGAGATACAGGTGCGTATGTAAGCCACGGCGTCCGCGGTAATCCGTTTCAGCCGAGGCAGAACACTCACTCCCTCTCTTGGCCGCTTTGGAGACCGGATCAATACTGGCTCCACACGCTCTTTGGCACGCAAATGGGAGGGGTCATTGGGCCACACGACAAGGGCTCCTGCCCTGCAAACCCGGGAAGGGGAGGGGAAGGGAGGGGAGGACACCCACCCAGGTGACCACCAGGCTGAGCTGCAGGTAGAGGTGAGCCCCTCCCCATGCTCCCTCCCCAACCTGCACGTCCATTGGTTGTGCCACTCACTACCCGAGCTCTAACTGCCTGGGATGTAGTTGTCACTCAGGTTCGCACCTCCACTCTCGGACTCGCAGTAAAACATAAATGAAGGCACCGGAGGGGAGGGTTGTGAAACCGGGCCTGGGCTTGAGGAGGTTGAAGACTCTCCACCCCCTTGGCTTTTCACAGCATCATCTCATCTCCCTCTTGGGCCCATCCTCTTCCAACGTGATTTTCCCAGAACACCTGTGAGAGGCCCCTTGGGGAAAAGGGTCATTTAATCAAATAAGGTGGGGAAATCCCTTACCACCTCCCGCTGTGGGGCAAAAACACATTTAGCATAATGAAGAGAGGTTCTTTGGTATAGAAAACGGTCTGATTTGCCCCACATTTCCCTGATGCATCCCTTTGCACTTTCATCCTGCCATCAGGAAAGTGTCATCTACCCATCCAGCCTCGAGGCAGAGGCCTGAGGGAGCCGTGGACCCATGCTTGGGCCAGAGCTGTGGTCCTTGGACTTGGGTGAGCCATGCCATCCCCTGGAGGCCTCACTGATGGTGAGTCTGGGTGGGACCGAGGAACCCCATTTCCAACAACTTCCCAGGTGGGGCCAAGGCCCAGGACCGCTTTAGGAACCACCAGACGGGAATATTGGAAGCGTCCTGTCCACAAGTTGGCCAGGATCAACAATCCCAAGACATCCCAGTAAGGAAAGTGAATGTTGGAGACATTCAACACTCAAAATGGGGGTAACTCAGACCATTTTCTCTACCAAAGTACCTCTCCATTGTGCTGAGTGCGTTTCCATTCCACGAGAGGGAAAGGAACGGAGCGGCTGCTTTCCTGGCAGGTTTTTAAACCGCTCACGCCCACTTCCTCCTCAGCCGTTCCTGCGGAGGAATGGGGTGTGTGGCTCGGTCCTATTTGGTTTCTGCGGGCACCAAACAATTTCTCTGGGAGCCTAAGAGGATGGCTGTGCCCCTGGCAGACACCCCCCCCACACACACACACACACACACACACAGCTCCTTTTCCCCACGACCAGGACAATCTTGGCAAATCAAGACCTGCTCACACCCGCTCCTGCAGAAAACAACACCCTTGTGGGTATCCAAGGCTTTTACGATAAAGACTAGAATCCTAATTGGGGCGCTCTCCTCTGTCCTCACACCCAGGCCTTCCTTTGGCTTCTATTAATACAACGGGGCCTCTGTACCTCCCTGTGGGACATAACTGAGCCTGGGTGTGGGGACAGTGTACCTCCCTGTGTGACATACATGAGCCCTTGGCGGTTCACGCCCCCAAGGCAGGCTGAAGCCTGATAGCTCCAAAGCCACTGGCACCAAACCCAAAATTGTATGCATCCCATTGCTTTAAAAATAGTCAAACAAGCAAATTTTTAGCCCCTTAGGCCCAGCCGGGTTTGCAGACCCTGTGAAACTACACCCAGCACCTGCTGGCCATTGAGAAGCTCACACCTTGTGCTTATAAGACCCCGAGCGATCCGGGCCCTTGCCCTTGGCCACTCTGTGGCCCCAGGACTCCTGCCCAACTGCTCCAATGACATCACTAGACCCCAGCCCTGTCAGATCCCTCCCCTTCCTCTGGGGATGGTGCCCCACACCACAGCCTCTGGGCAGATGTCCCTATCTCCCAGCCCTGCCCCAGGACCGCCCGCCAAACTTGTGTGTCCTGCCTCTCATGGTCACGTCTTCCCAGATCGCCGGACCTCTCCGAGCCCTTCCACTCCGGCCTCCCAGCCTCACCCCCAACCCTCAGGGACACCCCTCCCTTCCCCCCTCCACGGCTCCTATAACCCCCAAGACCAGGCCGGCACGGCTCACACTCAGCTCCCTACCAGCTGGGCCAAACTACAGCTGTGGTTTTCAGAGATCCGTTTCCCAGGAGGAGCCAGGCTCACCTCCGCCTCCCACTGGCCAGGGATGTACCGACAGGACAGCGGGCTCCTGGTCACCATTTCTGGCCACCGTAACCCTGGCACCGCCAGTGCCCACCCACCGGGAATGTTGGTGTGGGGAGTGGAAAGAGGAGCACAATGGCCTGACCTGAAATGTCCCCAGTTCCTATGAAAAACACACGGTCTCCGCGCTCTGCCTCTGCTCCGGCAGGTTCCATCCGGATCCAAACACGGGCCCTGGCCTTTCTGCCCGTTTCTCTGGCAGCTTCCCGTGGCTCTGACTCACCCAGGGTCGGACTCCCGGCCCCTCCGTCACCGCAGGGAACTTGTCAAACCACAAATCCGATCGCATCAGCCCCAAGAGAAGACTAGTAACTCTCCCACGGGTGAGCCATGGGTCAGTGTCCACCCTTTTCACCTGGGCGCCTGCTGGCGATGAGCAGGACTGGGTGGGAGGTGGAATGGACTTAGCCCTCCGGGTCACTCACTGCCCTGGGGGAAACACCCTCAAACCACCACCCCCCTCCCCCTGTCCTCGGCCACCCGCTGGGCTGAGTTTGCTAAAACCCAGAGTCCAAGCACCAGGAGCAGGGGGCATGGCCGGGTTAGAAACACACGAGGAAGCACAGGGCGGGGCTGCGCCGGGGATGCAGCTGGCCCGGAGCTCCACCAGGCATTTCCTGGACCTCATCCTATCTGCCCCCTGCAGCCCGCCCGTCCGGCCCCCTCCCCGCAGCTCCGCACTTCCCCTGCCGGCACCTGCCCTGCGGGGGACCCGGCACCCAGCGCGGGGAGTCACCCCGCACTCACCGAAGGCGCCGCCGCAGTCCTGGCCCCGCCGCGTCCGGTACTCCAGGCAGCCGGCCCGCTCCTCCAGCGCCGGGCACGCCGCGCCGCCGTTCAGCGGCTCCTGCCGCACCGGGCGCCGCCGCACGCGGGTCCCGGGCCGGCACTGGTCCGAGCAGCCGCTCCAGGGGCTCCACTCCCCCACGATGCACGGGCGACCTGCAAGGCACGGGGGCACGGTCACCGATGGGAGAGCCCAGCCCCCGAGCTGCTCCCCGCCCGGCTCAGAGGGGCGTCCCCCGCGGGAATGCGCTTTGGCTGAGCCAGCAGCAGCGGGAGGCGCCTCTCAGCTGGGCCCAGGTGACCTTGACTCCCTGCCCTGATGGTTAACTGGTAACCGGTGGCCTCGCCGAGGCAGGCGCAGGTCAGGGGACCCGGAAGGTGGGTCTGAGCCAGGGACACACCTGAGTCAAGAGAGGAGGCCTTGGGGTACTTCCTCATACTCCTCAGGCTTAGATCAGATCTTAGCGTGGGTCTTAACTTTCTTCTTCTTCTTTTTTTTTTAATATGTGAGTTTTTACAGAGGGGAAGGGAGAGGTGGAGAGAGTTAGAAATATCGATGAGAGAGAAACATCGATTGGCTGCCTCCTGCATGCTCCCCGCCGGGTATGTGCCGGCAACCAAGGTACATGCCCCTGACCTGGGACCCTTGAGTCTGCAGGCGGATGCTCTATCCACTGAGCCACACCGGTTAGGGCCTTAACTTTATTCTTGATTTTAACTTTTTCCTCCCCTCACCAGTCCTTTTCTATTGTAACAGGAGCACATATTCATTATAGTGACCGCAAAGGGAAAAACCAAAGCATAAACAACAAGTTTTACATCACCACCACCGAGCCCATCGCCTGCCCGGGAATATCAGCTACTGTGTCTGCGGAAGACAAGGCTCGGGGCCCCACCAGGGGACCCCTCATGTAGGCTGCCCATCCTCACCCTCCGCGGTTCGAGCTGAACCAGGAGAGGCGTCCAGCTTAGAGACGAGCCGCCAGGGCCCACAGAGGTCAAAGCATCATGGGCACCGGGAAGGGGCAGAATCAGGGTCAGAATCCGCTGGAGCATAAATTCCTGCCCACGACTGTGATTGCACAGTTAGCGTTCCCACTAAATGACCTAATGAGTCTATAAAGGCCTGTAATGAGGTTTGGAAGTGAATTATTTCAGGACTTTAAATCAGATACAAGACAAGGTCAAGAAGCTAGGAGGTCTATGTACCTCTGGCACCAGGTGCCAACACGCTCTCTCTCCCACAAAACGTGGCTCCCCCTCATACTTGCCAGTCTGCAGAGACCTCACCAAGAAAGCACCCTCGCTTCTCCGGGACCTGGCTTGGCCTGCCGCCAGCTTGCACCGGAAAACCCAACTTGTACCCTGGAGCTTCGAGCTCACGGCGCTGGGAAGACATGTCCTTTGGCAGCGAGCACACAGCTACCCCGGACTTGAAAAGGGTCCCACCCAACATAAACACCTGATTGTGACTCAGAAGTTCCAAACTGGTTTAAAATCTTTTTATTCATCATCTAAAAACTCATCGCTGTCACATGACTCATGGGCCAGCCACCTAACACAGCAGGAATGAGCCACGCCAGAACTCGTTCCCAATAGCCGCGGCACACCATCTCTGGAAACTCAGCAGAGATGGTTTCCTGCTCTTGTCCTCTCCGGTGGACCCCTCCCTTTTTATCTTCAGGATCTCGGGATGAAAATGGCCCAAACAACCACAGGTATTTAAAGAGACAGCTGGGCGAGGAGCTGTGTGGGAAGGGCTTCTTCTGTCCTTCGTTTTTCCAATAAATCTCTTGCCACCCAAACAAATCTCTTCATCTCTGAGTCTAGCTAATCCTGCCCTCGTGTTTAGACTTGAACAACATTTACTATATTACACTTCTTAAAAAATACACTTGTTGCCCTAGCCGGTTTGCTCAGTGGATAGAGCATCATCAGCCTGTGAACTTGAAGGGTCCTGGGTTTGATTCTGGTCAAGGGTACATGCCGGGGTTGTGGGCTCAATCCACAGTAGAGGGTGTGCAGGAGGCAGCCAATCAATGATTCTCATCACTGATGTGTGTGTCTCTCTCTCCCTCTCCCTTCTACTCTGAAATATATTTATCTATATTAGAGGTCCAGTGCATGAAATTCATGCACGGGGGGGGGGGGGGCATGTCCCTCAGCACAGCCTGTACCCTCTCCAACATGGGACCCCTCAAGGGATGTCCGACTGCCCATTCAGGCCTGATCCTAATAGAATCGGGCCTAAACGGGCAGTCGGACATCCCTCTCACAATCCAGGACTGCAGGCTCCCAACTGCTCACCTGCCTGCCTTCTTGATTGCCCCTAACTGCTTCTGCCTGCCAGCCTGATCACTCCCTAACCACTCCCCTGCCAGCCTGATCGATGTCTAACTGCTCCCCTGCCGGCCCAATTGACCCCAACTACCCTCCTCTGCCAGCCCAGTTGCCCCCAACTGCCCTCCCCTGATCGCCCACAACTGCCCTTTCCTGCTGGCCATCTTGTGGTGGCCATCTTCTGACCACATAGGGGTGACCATCTTGTGACCACATGGAGGCAGCCATCTTCTGACGACAGGGGGGTGGCCATCTTGTGTGATGGTATGATGGTCAATTTGCATATTACTGCTTTATTATATAGGATATGTGTGTGTGTGTGTGTGTGTGTGTGTGTGTGTGTGTGTGTGTGTGTATATATATATATATATATTCCACTTGTTTCAAATATGAACATTTGGACACAACAGAAGTGAGTAATATGGCCTTGGGTAATGCCCTATCCATGTGGTAGAAGATGGCATTGGGGAGTTGTATGGCTGAAATTAATCTCTCAGCGTTACTTCAACATTTGTGTCTCATGCCCAATGTCTATTATTTTATTCAGTTTGGCCCACAATGAAAATCCTCAAGGTACAAAATAACAGAATCCGTCCTTGGCAAAATGCTATGGGCTGCTTTTCCCTTAAAGAGAATCTCTAGGGCCCAGAACAACATTTGGTGGCTGAGTAGCAAGACAAAAGGAAACAAGTTTCCATAGAGCGACCGAGTTTACAAAGGCTGCACCACGGCACACTCTGAGTTGGGAGATTAACCTGAGGTACTTTTCCCATTCTTCACACACAAATCTATTCCTGACTAACTGGTGAACTTCTGATGATTTGGACGGGAAGGTGTCATAGATCACAAGCGACCTCTGGACAGGGAGGTCAGGGGAAGTGTGGAAACGCCTGAGATTTAGTGTCAGGAGCCATATATTAGACCGCATGACACCATTTCCTTCTGAGTGGTCCCATGAGTGCCTTGTCACCTTCCCTCTCAGTGCTCCTGATTTACATCTGCAAACGGCAAATCAAAGTCGCTGGGAGGGAGACAATGGAAAGACCCAGGGTGTGAGGCATTTCCGGGCCTTCCTACGCACCAGCCAGTCCCCCTCCTCAAAGCTTTCTGGTCGTCAGATGTCCCTGCCACGGCCACAGGGGGAAGACCCAGAACAGAGACGTGCACAAAACTCTGACTTTCTCCATCATTGGGGTTCCGGGGGTCCAACAGACCGCTGCCCCCTGAGCAATCAGGACCATCTCAGCTTCCTGATGTCTCCATGTTAGGATATGACGTCACTTTAGGGGACAGGAGCCTAGATTTAAGGGGTGCCAGGAAGCTGGGCAAGCCCTTTTTGTTCTTTGTCTAAACTCCCTGGACTATTCAGGCAGGTGGCGTTTCTCCAGAAGCAGATGGCACACGTGGAGGTGAATGCCAGTCATTTATTGAGGAGGTGACTCCAGGAGCATACTAAGGGAACAAAGGGCAGAGACCGCGAGGCAGGCACCCATGTCCCTGTGTTGGGCCCAGTGGGCACCGCTGCCCTCAGCGCGCTGGGAAGGGAGAGGGTGGGAAGGTCTGGAGCGGGAGGATGCTTCCTGGTGCACCAGCCCATCCCCCTCCTCAAGAGCTTTCTGGTGGTCAGGTGTCCTGCTATGGCCACAAGGGGGAAGGCCCAGAATGGAAACGTCATGTATTTCAGAAGCGCATCTGCGCACACAAGAAGGCACATTGCATATGACCTAACAGGGTACCCAGTCATGGCCACATCCAGTGAACTTAAAGATGGTCACTCATCTTCCACAAAATGAAGAAATGAAGAAATGAAGGAATGAAAGAATTAATAGGCGGTTGGCTTTGTAAACTTCCTCAGTGCTTTGCCATTGAATTGAAATGAAATTCAAACCCCTTGCAGTTTGTGGCCGGCCTGTGCCTGCCCCTCCGCTCCCACCTGATCCCCCCACCTCCCCGCCTCTGTGCCAAGCTCCAGCCATGCCAGCCTCCTGACCCCTGGAAGACACCAAACTCTTTCACAGCCGAGGCCTTCGCTCTGCCAGGAATGTTCCTCCCACACTGGGCACGGCTGGGCTCGGCTCATCCTGTAGGCCCCAGATGAGTTATTTCTCCTTCGGGGACTCCTTCTCGAGCCAGCTTAGCCAAGGCCTTCCCAGCCCCTACACACACCCCTCAAAATTATTTCCTCTCTTTCCAGCATCTCCATGGTTCATCATCACATATTCATCTGCTACAGTGTTCATTGTTGGTGAGTTTTTCACTTCATGCCTAGTGCTTGGCACTTAGGAAGAACTCAAAAAATATTTGCTGAGGGAAGGAAAGAAGGAAGAAAGAAAAGAAAGAAAAAAGGAAGGGAGGGAGGGAGGGAAGAAAGGAGGGAGGGAGGGAGAGAGGGAGGGAGGGGGGAGGGAGGGAAGAGGGGGAAAGGAAAAAAGACATGGCACTGGGCAAGTTCCTCCTCCTTCCTAATGACGTTCTCCCCAAAGCAGACTCTGCTCTGCTCCCATCATTAGTCGGAAGCCACAGCACTGACAGACACCCAGAGTGGGAAGGACAGGAGAAACTCCCAGAGCCAAAAACACGGGATTCTGAGCCTGGCCCAGAGCTGTGGCCCTCTCCTGGCAGTGGGGGGGGGGGGTGGCGCGGGGGGTGGAGGGGGGCGGGGGGGGGGGGAGTTGGGGGGGCGGGGAGCAGTGCTCTCTGTGCCTTTAGGTCCTGGCAGCCGCACATTCTTCTAATCCTTTTCCATCCATTTCTGCCTCCCGCCAGGACCACGTGTTGAATGTAACAAGCTTCTTTAATTTTATTATCTGTGGTGT